AAAGTTTGGAATACTTCAGTTTCTTATGCTCATAAAGGCTGCATTTATTTGATCAAAAAATACTGTGAAAAAATGTGAAATATTATTACAATTTAAAATATCTGTTTTCTATGTGAATATATATTAAAGTGTAATTTATTCCTGTGATCAAAGCTGAATTTTCAGCATCATTACTCCAGTCTTCAGTGTCACATGATCCTTCAGAAATCATTCTAATATGATGATCTCATGCTCAAGAAACATTTACTATTATTATCAATAAACTGTTAATATTTTTGTGGAAACTGATTAATTTTATTTTTCAGGATTCTTTGATGAATGGAAAGTTCAAAAGAACAGCATTTACTTGAAAAATTATCTCATTATACATGTCTTTACTGTCACTTTTGATCTATTTAATGCATCCTTGCTGAAAAAAAAAAATTCTTTCAACAACAACAAAAAAAAATCTTTCGCCTGCTTTGTCTTGAACTGGCATATTTGTTTTAAATTAGTTTTTAACTTAATTCTCTGAAAATAAGTCTCAATATCGTATCTGTTGCTTTTTTATAGATATTTTACCTGTAAAATGCTCATTAAGAATATGATATTTGTCACTGTTGAGTGGCTGGGAACTCTGGGATTGCCGTCTCTGTGAAGGATGCATGTAGTGATCAGTCTTTGTGTCTATGATGACTTTATGATGCCGGTTTCGGGCCGGAACTGATGTTTTCCTGAACACCTTCTCATCTGGTTGCAGTTTTGCTGCTTTTTTCCGGTGTCATATGTACAGTGATATTTTCTCCACTGCTTTTGCCCGCGTCCGTGACGTGTGAAGTGCTGTTTTGACGGAGTGAGAAACGGTGTGTTTCTGCCTGTATCTGTGGCTCGTGTCCAAATGCAGGCGCTGGCATTGTGTGTGTGTGTGTTTGTGTGTTTGCATGAAAATAAAGTGCACGTACAAACAGCGGGCTGCTGTTATTCAGCTTATATTCCTGTGTTTTCTGTCAAACAATCCCTAACTGCGTGTAAATCTGCTCTTGAAAGCAGCTCATCCGTCATGATGCTGTTCATGAACATTACTGGATCAGGTCAAAGGTCTCAGATGTTCAAATACTGAACTTCAGATTTAAGTCGGTAGTTTGACTTCCTGCAACACTGAAACATACTGACGCTCATTGCTGTTTGTTTGACCAACATGCTAACTTCTGACTAGACCAATGATGCGAGTTTGGGGCGGGACTATCTGTTTAATTGACCAATGAGATGACTCTTGCTTTGATTTAATGCTGTTGATTAATGAACACATTTTTATGTATCGATTTTTACTTTTAGATGGATTACCTTTACTTTTTAAATTTTATACATAGATTTTTTACTTTTTTTGTTCATATTTTCATTCATATACAAATATTGATCTCATCATTACCCATTGCTATGTTTTATAATATGTTAATAATAATAATTATTATTATTATTATTACAATTTATTTAATGCCAATATTATTTATACAATGTTTTAGATTATATATTTAATAATACATTAAAAACATGAACATTATTATGATTAATGTTACAGTAATAATTATTATTATTTATTTCAATGTATTTGATAGTATTTATGTAATGCGTTATATTTAATAATAATAATTATAAGTATAAGTGTGTATATCTATATATCTATATATGTTTAAGATTTGGTATTGTAATAATAATTGATTATTTATTTAATATTATCATTAAATAGAATACAACTACTACTGCTGCTAGTAGTAAGACTACCACTACTAATAATAATTATTAATATTATTAATATGTTATTTAATGTTTTTATTTATTTAATATTGTTATTTTTTTGTTTAGTTTCTTCCTGCTTTAGGCTGTCAGCAACATTCAGACTTTAAATATGACACAAGTGTTTTTGACTCGATGGATGTTCCTTCTGCCGTTAAACAGTAACTTTACCGTCTGTCGTTCTCTTGTGTCAAACAGTAACTTTAACGCTGTCGTTCTCTTGTGTTAAACAGTAACTTTACCGTCTGTCGTTCTCTTGTGTTAAACGGTAACTTTACCGTCGGTCGTTCTCTTATGTTGAACGGTAACTTTACCGTCTGTCGTTCTCTTGTGTTAAACAGTAACTTTACCGTCTGTCGTTCTCTTGTGTTAAACAGTAACTTTACCGTCTGTCGTTCTCTTGTGTTAAACAGTAACTTTACCGTCTGTCGTTCTCTTGTGTTAAACAGTAACTTTACCGTCTGTCGTTCTCTTGTGTTGAACGGTAACTTTAACGCTGTCGTTCTCTTGTGTTGAACGGTAACTTTAACGCTGTCGTTCTCTTGTGTTGAACGGTAACTTTAACGCTGTCGTTCTCTTGTGTTGAACGGTAACTTTAACGCTGTCGTTCTCTTGTGTTGAACGGTAACTTTAACGCTGTCGTTCTCTTGTGTTAAACGGTAACTTTAACGCTGTCGTTCTCTTGTGTTAAACGGTAACTTTAACGCTGTCGTTCTCTTGTGTTAAACGGTAACTTTACCGTCTGTCGTTCTCTTGTGGTAAACGGTAACTTTAACGCTGTCGTTCTCTTTTGTTAAACGGTAACTTTAACGCTGTCGTTCTCTTGTGTTAAACAGTAACTTTACCGTCTGTCGTTCTCTTGTGTTGAACGGTAACTTTAACGCTGTCGTTCTCTTGTGTTGAACGGTAACTTTAACGCTGTCGTTCTCTTGTGTTAAACAGTAACTTTACCGTCTGTCGTTCTCTTGTGTTAAACGGTAACTTTACCGTCGGTCGTTCTCTTGTGTTGAACGGTAACTTTACCGTCTGTCGTTCTCTTGTGTTAAACAGTAACTTTACCGTCTGTCGTTCTCTTGTGTTAAACAGTAACTTTACCGTCTGTCGTTCTCTTGTGTTAAACAGTAACTTTACCGTCTGTCGTTCTCTTGTGTTAAACAGTAACTTTACCGTCTGTCGTTCTCTTGTGTTGAACGGTAACTTTAACGCTGTCGTTCTCTTGTGTTGAACGGTAACTTTAACGCTGTCGTTCTCTTGTGTTGAACGGTAACTTTAACGCTGTCGTTCTCTTGTGTTGAACGGTAACTTTAACGCTGTCGTTCTCTTGTGTTGAACGGTAACTTTAACGCTGTCGTTCTCTTGTGTTAAACGGTAACTTTAACGCTGTCGTTCTCTTGTGTTAAACGGTAACTTTAACGCTGTCGTTCTCTTGTGTTAAACGGTAACTTTACCGTCTGTCGTTCTCTTGTGGTAAACGGTAACTTTAACGCTGTCGTTCTCTTTTGTTAAACGGTAACTTTAACGCTGTCGTTCTCTTGTGTTAAACAGTAACTTTACCGTCTGTCGTTCTCTTTTGTTAAACGGTAACTTTAACGCTGTCGTTCTCTTGTGTTAAACAGTAACTTTACCGTCTGTCGTTCTCTTGTGTTGAACGGTAACTTTAACGCTGTCGTTCTCTTGTGTTGAACGGTAACTTTAACGCTGTCGTTCTCTTGTGTTAAACGGTAACTTTAACGCTGTCGTTCTCTTTTGTTGAACGGTAACTTTAACGCTGACGTTCTCTTTTCTTGAACGGTAACTTTAACGCTGTCGTTCTCTTTTGTTGAACGGTAACTTTAATGCTGTCGTTCTCTTTGGTTGAACGGTAACTTTAACGCTGTAGTTCTCTTTTGTTAAACGGTAACTTTAACGCTGTCGTTCTCTTTTGTTAAACGGTAACTTTAACGCTGTCGTTCTCTTCTGTTAAACGGTAACTTTAATGCTGTCGTTCTCTTGTGTTGAACGGTAACTTTAACGCTGTCGTTCTCTTTTGTTGAACGGTAACTTTAACGCTGTCGTTCTCTTTTGTTAAACGGTAGCTTTAACGCTGTCGTTCTCTTTTGTTGAACGGTAACTTTAATGCTGTCGTTCTCTTTTGTTAAACGGTAACTTTAACGCTGTCGTTCTCTTGTGTTAAACGGTAACTTTAACGCTGTCGTTCTCTTTTGTTGAACGGTAACTTTAACGCTGTCGTTCTCTTTTGTTGAACGGTAACTTTAATGCTGTCGTTCTCTTTGGTTGAACGGTAACTTTAACGCTGTAGTTCTCTTTTGTTAAACGGTAACTTTAACGCTGTCGTTCTGCTGTGTTGAACGGTAACTTTAACGCTGTCGTTCTCTTTTGTTAAACGGTAACTTTAACACTGTCGTTCTCTTTTGTTAAACGGTAACTTTAACGCTGTCGTTCTCTTTGGTTAAACGGTAACTTTAACGCTGTCGTTCTCCTGTGTTGAACGGTAACTTTAACGCTGTAGTTCTCTTTTGTTAAACGGTAACTTTAACGCTGTCGTTCTCTTGTGTTGAACGGTAACTTTAACGCTGTCGTTCTCTTTTGTTGAACGGTAACTTTAACGCTGTCGTTCTCTTTTGTTGAACGGTAACTTTAATGCTGTCGTTCTCTTTGGTTGAACGGTAACTTTAACGCTGTAGTTCTCTTTTGTTAAACGGTAACTTTAACGCTGTCGTTCTCCTGTGTTGAACGGTAACTTTAACGCTGTCGTTCTCTTTTGTTAAATGGTAACTTTAACACTGTCGTTCTCTTTTGTTAAACGGTAACTTTAATGCTGTCGTTCTCTTTGGTTAAACGGTAACTTTAACGCTGTCGTTCTCCTGTGTTGAACGGTAACTTTAACGCTGTAGTTCTCTTTTGTTAAACGGTAACTTTAACGCTGTCGTTCTCTTGTGTTGAACGGTAACTTTAACGCTGTCGTTCTCTTTTGTTAAACGGTAACTTTAACGCTGTCGTTCTCTTTTGTTAAACGGTAACTTTAACGCTGTCGTTCTCTTTTGTTAAACGGTAACTTTAACGCTGTCGTTCTCCTGTGTTGAACGGTAACTTTAACGCTGTAGTTCTCTTTTGTTAAACGGTAACTTTAACGCTGTCGTTTTCTTTTGCTAAACGGTAACTTTAACGCTGTCGTTCTCCTGTGTTGAACGGTAACTTTAACGCTGTCGTTCTCTTTTGTTGAACAGGACCCAGCCATGGAGAGGTGGAGACGCGCGAATGCTTGTACTTCAACATTAACTGGGAGATCGAGAAGACGAACCGCAGTGGTGTGGAGAGATGTGAGGGAGAGAAGGACAAACGCTCGCACTGTTACGCCTCCTGGAGGAACAACTCCGGGAACATCGAGCTGGTGAAGAAGGGATGCTGGTTAGACGACTTCAACTGCTACGACAGGTCAGTCATGTGACACAAACTGCTACGTCAGGTCAGTCATGTGACACGAACTGCTACGTCAGGTCAGTCATGTGACACAAACTGCTACGACAGGTCAGTCATGTGACACAAACTGCTACGACAGGTCAGTCATGTGACACAAACTGCTACGACAGGTCAGTCATGTGACACAAACTGCTACGACAGGTCAGTCATGCGACACAAACTGCTACGACAGGTCAGTCATGTGACACAAACTGCTACGACAGGTCAGTCATGCGACACAAACTGCTATGACAGGTCAGTCATGCGACACAAACTGCTACGACAGGTCAGTCATGTGACACAAACTGCTACGACAGGTCAGTCATGCGACACAAACTGCTACGTCAGGTCAGTCATGCGACACAAACTGCTACGACAGGTCAGTCATGCGACACAAACTGCTACGTCAGGTCAGTCATGCGACACAAACTGCTACGTCAGGTCAGTCATGTGACACAAACTGTACAACAGGTCAGTCATGTGACACAAACTGCTACGTCAGGTCAGTCATGTGACACAAACTGCTACGTCAGGTCAGTCATGTGACACAAACTGTACAACAGGTCAGTCATGTGACACAAACTGCTACGTCAGGTCAGTCATGCGACACAAACTGCTACGTCAGGTCAGTCATGCGACACAAACTGCTACGACAGGTCAGTCATGCGACACAAACTGCTACGTCAGGTCAGTCATGCGACACAAACTGCTACGTCAGGTCAGTCATGCGACACAAACTGCTACGTCAGGTCAGTCATGTGACACAAACTGCTACGTCAGGTCAGTCATGTGACACAAACTGCTACGACAGGTCAGTCATGTGACACAAACTGCTACGACAGGTCAGTCATGTGACACAAACTGCTACGACAGGTCAGTCATGTGACACAAACTGCTACGACAGGTCAGTCATGTGACACAAACTGCTACGACAGGTCAGTCATGCGACACAAACTGCTACGTCAGGTCAGTCATGCGACACAAACTGCTACGACAGGTCAGTCATGCGACACAAACTGCTACGACAGGTCAGTCATGCGACACAAACTGCTACGTCAGGTCAGTCATGCGACACAAACTGCTACGACAGGTCAGTCATGTGACACAAACTGCTACGTCAGGTCAGTCATGTGACACAAACTGCTACGACAGGTCAGTCATGTGACACAAACTGCTACGACAGGTCAGTCATGTGACACAAACTGCTACGACAGGTCAGTCATGTGACACAAACTGCTACGACAGGTCAGTCATGTGACACAAACTGCTACGACAGGTCAGTCATGCGACACAAACTGCTACGACAGGTCAGTCATGCGACACAAACTGCTACGTCAGGTCAGTCATGCGACACAAACTGCTACGACAGGTCAGTCATGCGACACAAACTGCTACGTCAGGTCAGTCATGCGACACAAACTGCTACGTCAGGTCAGTCATGCGACACAAACTGCTACGTCAGGTCAGTCATGTGACACAAACTGCTTCGACAGGTCAGTCATTTTCATGAAGGTGTTTATGACTTGGTGTTTTATTGTGTAGTTTTATCCGTCCCTGATCGGGGTAAGCTGAGCCAGCTTCATGTTTCGGGTCGGTCAGTGGCTTCACCAGCCGAAGCTGCTCATCGTCTTCATTTCAGGAGGTTTATGAGGCCATGCTTGAAAATATTCTTGTTTGCCGTAACCCGACCGACCCTGTCAAATTAGGACCGACCCAATTATTTATTTTTTTCCCCTTTTAGTCCGACCGACTTGCCGGTTGTAAACTTGCATTAAGACCGACCGATTTTTTTTTTACTCTTCAAACAACTAATACAAATGCAATAAAATAATATACATTTATTATAGTAAGTATTGTGAATATAAATTGCGTAGGCTACGTTCTTTCTTTTAAATAAAAACCCGTGGCGTCATCTATTATGATATGGCCTGTGCGTTCGCTTCGTTTCATTCACTGTCAATGGTTCGCGCTCGGTGATGATGGCTGCGGCGCGGCTGCTTGTGAAATACGTCTGTATGAGCCTACATTTAGTCGCTCATTATTCGAAATTCTTAATGGTCAAATAGGGAATCGATGTTAACGGCCTTTTCTCGGAGCCCGTCCAGCTCGTCATGACATGCCCACCGCGAACGCGCGTCACACAGCAACTGCAGGCTCTGACAAACAAACACACATAAGTGTGGGAAGCCAAACACACCGAAAGGGGGACGAAACGGCGCGGTGTGTTACAGAGTTCGCGCTGCGCTGACTTGTAATCTGCGTGGCTCAATGGACCGAGACTCGACAGCGCAGGGAGAAGTGTTTGCTTGCGCCAGCCAATGGTCAGAGCGGCGCGAATTAATCTCACCAGCGCCGCGCTGACCAATAAAACAGCACATCCCATACCGAAATGTACTAAATTGCACAAAAGAAAATCGACCATTCCATAATATGTCAGGACTACTTAATCGGCCTATAGTTTCCTACAATGCGCCTAGCTATTTGACCTCACTGATTTCCGTTAATAATAGCAGATGTTTATGGGTCAAATCTCTCACTCTCTCCCTGCAACTTTTTGTTACCCTCCTTTCCTGCCCCTAGACCAGAAAGGGGGCTTGTAACAGTATGGGTCAAATGTAAACGAATGGTGCCAAACGCGCTGTTTTATTGGTCGGCGCGGCGCTGGTGAGATTAGTCATTTTAATTTATTTGTTTCCCTCTGAAAATCCACTTTCATTGAAATCTAGTGGCTCCTTTTTTTCTTTTGATTCTGCCTATTTTTTTCCAAATGAATGCAGCTGGAATTAATGCAATAAATATGTTTTTTTTTTTACAAAGATTTCAAATTGTTTGTGGTCTATAACCTGTATCAGAATGAGGTTCGCAATGGTGCGCCCGAAAGCATGGGGGTTGAAGACCCAGTCAGTGACGTCACGATATGCAAATTTGTTTAAATTCATACCGACCTAATCACCATGACCAAAATTATCCTTTTTTTTTTACATTGAATCTTGAAAAAAAAAAATATAGACCTACCTACCGACCCTATTTTTTTTTTTTTTTTGCTGTTACTGCAAACCAAAATATTTTTAAGGATGGCCTGAGACACAATTATTCTTCAGATGTCATGCATTCACTCAGTTTGTAAAAGGAGAGGAATCGGTTTTGACCTTCGAGTTGTGTGTGTGTGTGTGTGTGTGTGATTGGAGGGTTGTGTGTTATTGTGCCATTGAGAAAGATCATATATTTCCAGCTCTTGCATTGCAATGAAAAGCGTCTGCTTTAGATTGGATTAGGTCACGGAGTCGGAGGAAGTTTTGCAGCCGTCTTACATCATCATGTAACAGAGCGATTGTTTCTTTCTAAGAAGAACTCGATGAGCGTCTGAAGAGGAGGCGGAGGACGTCTCGGGATGTCTTCTGCTCTGTGCGCAGGTTCAGGCTCATCATTTAATGTTTCTTATCTCCGTTTGTCCTGAATTAATTTCACCGCTGACCTACTTACAGCGTCCCTGAACGCGAGGACTTCCAGAAGCAGATCGCTGCGGATATTGATGAGGCTCTATAGAAATAAAGGGAAGTTGACATTGATTCAATCACTAGTTGACCAGTCATTATTTCAGCCAAATCTTTTATAACGGTATAATTAATTTGATTTAAAATGTTGTTTAATGCAAGTGAATTTAAACCCAGCCATGTTTTCCACACATATTTGGATCTGTTGCCTATTTTTTTTTTTTTTTTTTTTTTTTTTTTTTTTTTTAGATGTTGCATTGATTTTTTACTCTATTATTTCACAAGGTCATTAAGACACTTCAGAGCAAACTGCGAAATATTGAGAAACTTTGCGAATACTGTCAATAGACTGATATACAGTATATGATATCAATATCTGCTTTTATTAATTTAGTTATATAGTCAGTTAGTTGATTAGTTAAACTTGAAAAGTCGTAATTTCAAAGCAAATCAATCTTTATGGCCATTTATTAATATTTAAAATGTTTTAATGCAAGTGAATTAAAGGTCTAGTTTTCCACTCGATTAACATATTTTTACTCTGTTTTGGGTATTTTAGAGCAAATGGAGAAATAGCGAGAAACCGCAGTTGTCCGTTCATGCATTCATTCATGCATTCATTCATGCATTCATTCATTCATTCATGCATTCATTCATGCATTCATTCATTCATTCATTCATTCATTCATGCATTCATTCATTCATGCATTCATTCATTCATGCATTCATTCATTCATGCATTCATTCATTCATTCATGCATTCATTCATGCATTCATTCATGCATTCATTCATGCATTCATTCATGCATTCATTCATGCATTCATTCATGCATTCATTCATGCATTCATTCATGCATGTCATCATTTCAACCAAATCAATCATTATGGCCATTAATTTATCTAAAATGATTTAGATGTTTAATGCAAGTGAATTAAAAATCTATGTTTTCCTCTCAATAAACACAAATGTTAGATTTATTTTAGTTGATTATTTGTTCATTTGATTATTTATGTGGTTATATATTTATGCATTTATTATAATAATAACAATAATAGTAATGAATGAATAATTTTATTTATTTTTTTATTTGTTTTATAATGCCTTTTATTTAATTTAATTTTTATTTATTTATTTAGAATTATTTATTTTATGTTTTTATTTATGATGTTATTTTTAATTTAATTAATTTTTTTTTTTATATATATATATTATATATTTATTTTTACCCAGCCTGCCTTTAGGCAAAGTTCCCTTGAATTATCTTACAGAAATAAGATGATGCTAGTGATCTTATTTAAAGCTGTTTTGCATTGCTACAAACACACATCTGATGTGGTAAATGTTTGTGTGTGGCGTTTCTGTTCTTCTGAATGAGGCTTCATGTTGTGAAGGTCATGGACGCGTCGCTCGGCTCTCCCGAACATCACTTTATTGGCAGAACAGTCTGAGCGATTGCGTTTGAGAAAGTGGGCCAGTCTCTGTATCGGCTGCTTAAAAAAGATTCCCGCAACAATCCTGCGTTATCTAATCTGCAGGGATTTGCTTTTAAAGACGGCCCCAGGTAAACGCTTCAGATTCCCCACATTTCAGAGGCTAAATTGGGATTTTAGAGAAACAGACTGAAGTTGGCAGTGAAACTGGGGTTTTGAGGTTTGCTCACGTTGGACTTTTTGAATTTATTATTATTATTTATTTATTTATAATGTATTATTTACTAGAATAGTTCCAGACTTGTATGACTCACTCTCTTTAGTGGAACAGAAAGAAACCGAGATCACTTCCACACCGGGATCCGAGGCTGTCGAGAAACATTCAGCTCATAAATGCAGTGCTTCTGTTTCTATAATAATACATAAGTTATATAGACTCATTTTATAATTATCTTTATAATAATTGTTTTTGGAGCAGGATAGTCTCGGTCACTCTCAGCTGTTGTTGTATAAAAAGTTGATGTTTTAAAAAGCTTGTTTTTATTGGCATTGGGTATTATGATTTACAGTAGCTTTTTGTCATGTTTTTTATGCAATGTATTTCTCCTTACAACACTTTAGCAGTTTTCAAAGAGCTTTATAAATAACATTGATTGTGCCGAAAGTTGCATAAAGATTTTTCAAATCTTTTCCATTTATGTATTTCCATTCAATAAATGTTAGTTCCAAACAAAGAAACAGGATATTTTTGCGTCTCTGAGTGACACACTGCGGTGTTTCATTACTGAATGAACGAATCGTTTGAATGAATGATTCAATGACTCATTCATTAAGACAGTCAAATGCTTCTTTCCTGAATGATTTAGCTGTTTGAATGAATCGGTTAAATGAATGATTCAATGACTCGCTCATTAAAGGGATAGTTCACTTTGAAATTAATTTTTGGTGTGTTTTAGCTTACCTCAAGGGCATCCAAGATGTAGGTGTCTTTGTTTCCGCAGTAGTTTCAATTTTGATATTTTTAGGTCAAACCGTTCTTGTCTGTCAGTCATATAATGCAGATCTATGGTCACCACCTCAAAGAGCATGCACAGAGAAGTCCAAATTAAACATGATTTAATGACTCGTAAATGTAAGTACACATTGATGGCCTAAGACACGAAACGAGCGGTTTGTGTGAGAAAACGAACAGTATTTATATCATTTTTACCTCTTGTAACGCACAGGCCGAAGCGCCGGCGCCCTCAGATCACTTGGACGTGGCTGTGGTTACAAGAGCTCTGTTCATTAGCGCTGGAGATCTTCCACTCAGCCTCTATAATGAGATGTTGAACTAGACGAGAGGATCTTACACGCGTGTCTGTCCGACTCTCACGAGTGTGTCGTTTGTGTCTCGTCATCGCAGACAGGAGTGTGTGGCCACAGAGGAAAACCCTCAGGTGTTCTTCTGCTGCTGTGAAGGAAACTTCTGCAACGAGAGGTTCACACACCTGCCCGACGTCAGCGGACCAGGTGAGAGACGTCCCTGCTGTTCTGCTGCTCTACCCCTGAGCTTCAGTGTGAACGCCAGGCCATCATGAACATCTCAGTGCTGACATCACTCATTACGCATCATAATCATCCTCAATGATGACATCACTCAATACGCATCATAAACATCCTCAATGCTGACATCACTCAATACACATTCAACTTGTTGTGTCTGAGGGTAATGGTTAATGCACAACAGTTATTTATTCATTTATTTATCATGCATTTATTTTTTATTTGTTTATAATTTATTTATAATTTTATTTTTTATTTTGAATGAATTATTTTTCATTTTTATTTATGTATTATGCATTTATTTATTTCACTATTTATTTATAATTTTTTTGTTTATTTATTTTAATGCATGTATTTATTATTATTTGTTATTTTAGAATGCATAAATAAATGCAAAAAATAAATAAATACATTAAAATAAATATTCATACATTTATTTTTTTTACATTTTATTTATACTTTTTTATTCATTTTTGTGTTAATTTATTTTAATTAATTATTATTTCAAATTTGCTAGTATTTATTTATATTTATTTATTTCTACATTAATTCATGTTTTTAATGCATGCATTTTTAGAATTTGATTATTTTAATTTTTAATTATTTATTTGCTTATTCGTTAATATGTATTTATATTAATTTATTATATATATATATATATATATATATATATATATATATAATTTAATATATATTTTTGATTTATCTATTTTATACATTTATTCGGTCATCATATACAGGTGAAACTCGAAAAATTAGAATATCGTGCAAAAGTTCATTTATTTTTGGTTTGATTATGGTGTACAGCTTATGAAACCTTTTCACAATATTCTAATTTTGAATGTGGGGTTTTCATAAGCTGTAACCCATAATCATCAACAACATTATAACAAATAAAGACTTGAAATATCTCACTTTGCATGTAATGAGTCTATATAATATATTAGTTTCACCTTTTAAGTTGAATTACTGAAATAAATGAACTTTTGCACCATATTCTAATTTTTCGATTTCACCTGTACATTTTTTGACTGGCCTGTGTGTCTGCTCAGAGTTCAGTCTAACGTGTGTGTGTGTGTGTGTCCGTCAGTGATCGAGCCTCCTCCTGCCCCCCCGTCGCTGCTGAACGTGCTGGTCTACTCTCTGCTGCCCGTCACCATGCTCTCCACGGCTCTCCTGCTGGCCTTCTGGATGTACCGGCACCGCAAGCCTCCCTACGGACACGTGGACATCAACGAGGTCGGTCCACCCGCTTTACTCTGATCTCACACACTCCTTACAGTTCGTGTCCTGTGTCAAGCGTTGTTTCCTGTTCTCTGCCGCCACCTAGTGGTGCTCTTCACTGCATTGTTTGATGTCTTCGTTCATGTGTGAAGTGCAGTATTGAGGCGTTGAGATGTTGATGCTGTGTGATGTGTCCTGCAGGACCCTGGCCCGTCTCCTCCTTCACCGCTGGTGGGCCTGAAGCCTCTTCAGCTGCTGGAGGTTAAAGCCAGAGGACGCTTCGGATGCGTGTGGAAGGCACAGATGATGAACGAATATGTAGCCGTCAAGATTTTCCCCATTCAGGTTCAGATTTGTTTCTTTTCTGCCTTTATAAATGCAAGCTAGCTCACTAGGCTTTGAGAGAGTCGCAGAAGGCTTCATGTTAATGCTGAACAGATACAGCAAATGCACTGTTCATTTATTTTAGTGCATTTATTTATTTTTATGCATGTTTATTTATTTTTTAATTAATTAATTTATATTTAATTTTTAATATGCATTTATTTATGAATATGTAGTCTGAACAGTGACACCAAAAGCATTTATTTATTAATGTATTTTATTTAATTAATTAATATTATTTTTTATTTTAGTTTAATTTTTTAATTTTTTAATTTTAATGCATGTTTTTATTCTTTATTTTAATTAATTAATTATGAATTTATTTAACATTTTATTTGTTTATTTGTTTTGATTGTATTAATTTATTTATATTTAAATGCATTTATTTATTTTTAAGAATTTTATAATTTTTCATTTATTTTTATTTGTATTTTATTAATTAATTTGTATTACTTTTTTTACATTTTATTTATTTATTTTAATGCATTTTTTATTTTAATTTTTTTAATGATTTGATTTATTTTTATGTATTTATTTTTTATGGTTTTATTTATTTTTATTGAATTAATTTATGTATAATCATTAATGTATTTATTTATAATTATGTAAATGTGAAGATTTTCAGCATTCAGGTTCATATTAGTTTTGTTTGCTTTTACTTAAAATGCTGCCTATTTATACTACTGTATAGATGCTAGATGGCTGTGTTTGTTTATTTATTTATTTTAATGATTTTATTTAATTTTAAGTATTTATGCATTTTTATGTATTTATTTATTTATAAATATGAAGCTGTGAAGATTTTCAGTCTAAGTTTCACGAAACCAGTGTTGACAGCAGTCACCATCAAATCTGTGTCATTACGTAAAGTTGTTTTTTTACATTACTTTTACATTGACATTACTTTACTGTGTCGACAGGACAAGCAGTCGTGGCAGAACGAGTGGGATATTTTCTCTACGCCGGGCATGAAACATGATAACCTCCTGCGCTACATCGCTGCGGAGAAACGCGGAAGCAACCTGGAGACTGAGTTCTGGCTCATCACAGAGTTTCACGAGAGGGTGAGGGGTCAAAGGTCATGAGACCTTAAACAAAAATATATGCAGGGTAAAAACACACCAGAAATCCCCAACTGACCCATTAGAAGCTTTTATGCATGCAGCCATGGACCTAAACTTAACCCTGTAAAGCTTGATAAATTTTAAAAAAATGGAAATGGAACAGTTTATTGAAACTTTGGACAAAAAAAATAATAAAAAGTGTCCATGTGTTTTTGTATCATATTTGATATATCAGGCTTTTATGGCTCGTATAGTATGATATAGTGAGAATATGAAGCAAAAAAACGCTATTAAGCCCAAACTTTGAAAACTTTGAAAACCTTTCATTTTGTGCAGATGCTAATATTAATATGGCAAAATCGAATTATGAAATTCTGATAGCTTGTAATGTAAAGGTCCTTGCACACTGAGTCCGAAATATTCGCACGTTAAAAAAAAACTTCGGATCGGGTTTGATTTTCTGTGTTTTCCGCTAGGGCTGCACAATATTGAAGAAAAATGAGATAACTCATTAAATAATGCGATACGATGATGCTTAAAGTGTGTAAAATAAACTTAAATGATCTATTATATAACCTACATGCGTGTTTCTCATTCTTTTTGTGACAAGAAAACATCCCTACAACTTCTGAAAGTGAACAGCAGTGTTTTACTGTCGCATAAGACGTGTTATTAACATCAGTGTAAAGCTCGGGTTCAGGTTATCCTACATCAGGGTTATTTAACAACAGAAACTGAATAATCAAATGTAAAAATAAAACACTGCTTAGTTTTCACTGTGTGATTTAAATATATACTGATTCTTATTAAAGCTAGAAAAGTTATTCAGCCAAGAGCAGCGAGTGATTTACTCTCTTTTGTTCATGAACGCAGTTATTGCAAGCCGTTGCGATATGATTATCGCGATATATACATCTGCAATATTTCGATATATTGTGCAGCCCTATTTTACGCATCCGTAGTGAGCGTTCTGAGAGGTGTGTGTGTGACCAATACGAAAAAACACACAAAAATTTCGGACTCAGTGTGCAAGGACCTTAAATCAAATTTTAAAGGTGCAATGTGTAATATTTCTGAGGATCTATTGACAGAAATGCAATATAAGATCCATAACTATGTGTTCAGTGGTGTATAAAGACCTTACTCAATGAACCGTAATGTTTTTATTACCTTAGAATGAGACATTTATATCTACATAACCCCTTCTATGAAGGGCGACATGTTGTGTCGTCATGTTTCTACCGTAGCCGACAGCGAACACACAGCGCTACAGAGCGTGTTTCCTCACTACCTTGAAAGAGAAGCCGCAGAAACCTAGAAGCTAGCCATAGACACCGCGAGTAGTGACTTTTCCCGTGTCAGTGGTGTAAAATATGTAGTTGGACTGTTTCATGTAACTTAGTTCTTCTCCCTCGCTGTGTTATGGCTTTGACAATCAGCTGATCACTACTATTGACCGTAAAACAGTAACGTTACAGGAGTCACCAACCCGTCGATCGCGGTCGACAAGTCCATCTTGGAGGCATTTTAAGTCGATCGCGAAGAGTTTTCAAAACCAGAGGGAAAAAAAACAATATTATTATTTATTAATTTGTGTTTAGTAAATGGTGTCTAGGGGATGCGGAGGCGCACGCGCTGTTACAATCACGTCATTTCTGCCGCGCGGACCGTTGCCAACTTAGCGCCTTTGTCGCTATTTTTAGCGACTTTTCAGACCCCTTCAGCGACATTTTTTCAAAGAAGCGACTAGCGACAATTTTAGCGACTTTTTGGACAAACCTCAGTAACCTCCAAATGTTGCCAGTACTGTCCTGCGAGCGCGAGGCCGTCACTCTCTCTCGCTGCGTCTCCCCTGTTCAGTGACTGGCTGAGAGGAGCGCACGGCCGCTGACAGACGCAAATGAGCAGTGTTTTTCCACGGACTTATCACTTATCTGCTTTTCTTTTGTTTTATATTTAAAGAATTTAGTTTCGACCATTTTCATTTTATTTATTTTCTTGTGCTTATTACTTGTAACACTCACTATCACATAGCTTAGTTCATCCGGTTCCCTAACTCTCTCAATTCAGATAATGTTCCACATAGGCCTATAAAAAATGTAGGCCTAATCATTCACTATATTATAGCTACTCGTTCTATTGTCTGACAACAAAAAAATAGGAAATGAGAACGGCTTTATTTGACATTCGGCTATGTTATATTAAATAGAGCATTAATTTAGAGAGAAAACGCACTAGGCTGACAGAACGCAAGTACGACGCGATGACGTAATTAATATGCTAATTGACGTATGATGTCATCTATTGACATTTAGCGACTTTTAGGGAAGGCGTTAGCTACATTCCTCTGAAAATAGTTGGCAACACTGGCTCAGCCACAGTAACAGCTCATATTAGCCAGCTAAACCTTTACTACCCTGTTAGAAAAAATATATAGTTGCATAGTTTCATGTGGTTCTTCTCCCTCGCTGTATTATGGGTTTGCTATGTGGGGAGAAATGTGCTGGTTACGTTCGTGAGACAATCAGCTGATTACTATTATTATTATGTTATATATTAAGACCCTTGATCCTCACCTGACTATGGCTTTGTAAACTTTATCCATGATGTGGTTTATAATGGACTGTGGTACAGAAACAGTGACGTACACTCTTGGCTTACTCTGGCTATTCTCTGCCGTCTCAGACGACGATACGTTTGTCCCGTTTGAGCCACCGTAGCTTCTTTGAAAGGGAGGGGTGAGCAGTGGGCGGAGCCATTAGTGCAACTCGCAACCGAACCACTAGATGCCGCTAAAATCTACACACTGCACCTTTAAACATTATTACTTCAATATGTTACAATATTGCACTTCATATTTTTCGCATTAGTGCAAGTGTTGAGTGTTTGGATGTGTTTTCCTCCGGCTCTGGTCAGGGTTCGCTGACGGACTATCTGAAGGGGAACGCGCTGAGCTGGAACGACATGTGTCACATCGCAGAAACCATGGCCTGTGGCCTGGCGTACCTTCACGAGGACGTCCCGCGGTTTAAAGGAGAAGGTCCTAAACCTGCGATTGCACACAGGTGAGTTTAACCTCTGATGAAGAAGACATTAATAATCATCTATACACTGTTTTACTATGAACAGTGTTTACAATCATGCACGTCCCTGTAATGCTGATGTTGTTTTTAAAGTACTCTTAGTCCAGTCATTTTAAGCCAAAATGGGGGTCAACCTAGAACAAGTTGCGACAGAAGCAAACTCAACTGATTTTGTATCCTCAATATGTCCTGAGTAAGGGGGAAAAAAGCCCAGAAGAATCCCATTAGGGGAAAGTTTCGAAATAAGTCCCTCCAGAAAAACGTGATTATGCGATCGCATGATTCAGTGCATAATCAGCCAAAGTCTGCATATTTATGCGGGGGCATTTTTTCAAATACGCCGCACTTTCGCCGCATAAATTGCTGATTTCCGTGCAAAATATGCGGGGCTTGCATGATTTCATAATCCTCGCATTTTCATTGCAAAAAAGTCACATATATCTCAGCAGAAAGTTGAAAAATGTTGCGTTTGCGTCACGCAAGAGCCGTTTCCCCCTGTTGCCATGGGAACGTTATGAAGTGACGTAATCACGCAACGTGAACATCATCGAAAAGCTGTAAAACAGGAGCACACTTTATTTTTATATTTTATTTATTCATTTTTACAGAAGTTGTAGCATATTCCTTTAGTAAAGCTACAGAACTCGTTTGACTCAATGTTTTGTAAGTTTGATGTGTTTATTAAGATCTGAAATAAATCAAGATGAACTGAAATATTCCAGCTCTTTCTGTGATGTAGTTATGCTTGCTTATCATAGGAAGGAATAAGAAATGACTCTTCACAGTAAGGTAGGAGCCTAGAGAGAACAGGGTGTTGGGGAATCACTTTATTCTCTCTTTTTCATCAAACCGCAATTTATGTAAGTTCACGCAATTTCATAATAAAATTGCATAAATATCCCGCATATTCCATCGTATTTTTCAAGAAAACGGGCCGCATAATCAAGGATTTTTTCCAGCAACAATCACAAAAAAACTTGCCGTTTTCTGGAAAGACTTCTTTTTCTCACGTGAATAGGGTAAAAATTGTAACCTTTAGATATCACCATGAAAATTTCTGAGTTGATTACTTGCATCAAGACAAACAAAAAATGTATTACAAATTTTTTGAAATTGTTTGTTAATATGGGCAAATGGTGCATAATCTAATTACTTATGTTCTAATTTGCATAAATAACACAACATATCTAAACATTGGGTGAACATGTCTTGTTGAATCTTGTTGACCTCTTACAGCATCTTATCAGTTTGCTTCTGTTGCAATTTGTTCAACCTTTTTTCATAAAATGACTGGACTATCTTGCACTACCTCACTTTAGATAAACACTACACTGTGGTTGCACTACTGTGCATTGTTTAAATTATATTTATATTTTTTATTAGATTCAACTAGTTATTTATCATTACTTTTATGCGTCTTTTTTTTTTTTTTAGAGCTGCAAACTCCATTTCGTTGATGTGTTCTACTGTATGCATACAATCACAATAAAGATTCTTATCTTAAATGGCTCATTATAATGCAAACATCTTCCACAGAGACTTCAAGAGTAAGAATGTGATGCTGAAGACCGATCTCACCGCTGTTGTTGGGGACTTCGGCTTAGCGGTTCGGTTCGAGCCGGGTAAACCACCGGGAGACACACACGGTCAGGTGAGACGCTTCTGCTTATAGGAGTTAAGAGTCGCCCTTATTATGCTTTTTTGTGAAATTGCCTTTCATGTAGTGTGAGATAAAGCTGTTCGTGAAGGTTAAAGGTCTGCAAAGTTTCAAAGATAAATGGAGTTACCATCTCCCAAAACTAAGATTCGATTCTGAACTTCCTGAAGCGATTCGTCTAATTCCAGTCTTACTTCCTGTTCGAATCTGCATAGGTTTGTAACTAATTTGCATAATGCCCGGTCTATGGTTTTCATTGGCTGTCGGCAAACAGCGTCTCTTTGCCCCTCAAACACTCTAGAGCAGGGGTGCCCAACCCTGCTCCTGCCGATCGACTGTCCTGCACAGTTCATCTCCAACCCTAAGTAAACACACCTGCCTTCAATTTTCAAGTGAGCCTGAAGACCTTAATTGGTTGCTTCAGGTGTGTTTGATTAGGGTTGGAGATGAACTGTGCAGGACAGTCGATCGGCAGGAGCAGGGTTGGGCACACCTGCTCTAGTGTATCTGAGACTGAAGAGTTCGGTTCGTGTTGTTCGTGTCGAGAAGTCGCTGTTTTCTGCTGACAAAGCAAATCCACTTTGATGAGATTGATACGGTAAAACCCACGCCATCGTTACTGTTCGAATCACTGTGATCAAGAGCTGAGATTCAGATATGATCATGAGCTTTTGGTTTCTGATATGAGCTGTAAGCGGTCGACCAATCACAACAGACTGGGTCATCTGACCAATCAGAGCAGAGTAGACCAATCACAACAGACTGGGCCATCTGACCAATCAGAGCAGAGTAGACCAATCACAACAGACTGGGCCGTCTGACCAATCAGAGCAGAGTAGACCAATCACAACAGACTGGGCCATCTGACCAATCAGAGCAGAGTAGACCAATCAAAACAGACTGGATCATCTGACCAATCAGAGCAGAGTAGACCAATCACAACAGACTGGACCATCTGACCAATCAGAGCAGAGTAGACCAATCACAACAGACTGGGCCGTCTGACCAATCAGAGCAGAGTAGACCAATCACAACAGACTGGGTCATCTGACCAATCAGAGCAGAGTAGACCAATCACAACAGACTGGGCCATCTGACCAATCAGAGAAGAGTAGACCAATCACAACAGACTGGGCCATCTGACCAATCAGAGCAGAGTAGACCAATCACAACAGACTGGGTCATCTGACCAATCAGAGCAGAGTAGACCAATCACAACAGACTGGGTCATCTGACCAATCAGAGCAGAGTAGACCAATCACAACAGACTGGGCCATCTGACCAATCAGAGCAGAGTAGACCAATCACAACAGACTGGGTCATCTGACCAATCAGAGCAGAGTAGACCAATCACAACAGACTGGGCCATCTGACCAATCAGAGCAGAGTAGACCAATCACAACAGACTGGGCCATCTGACCAATCAGAGCAGAGTAGACCAATCACAACAGACTGGGTCATCTGACCAATCAGAGCAGAGTAGACCAATCACAACAGACTAAGAGAAAAGAGCTGATTCTGCAATGTATATTATGAGAAAATGCATGTTAACCTGTTAAGCTTCAAGCCCACTTTTGAAAAATCCCCAGAAATGACATACCCAAACTAAAACAGATACAGTTCATGAACCCTTTGCACTAAAAGCACAAGTATGATCTCATTTGAAAGCTGACACCTGGTTGTTTATTGTAAATGTAGAATTAATTATTGTCATAATGAAAAAAACAATTTTAAATAGCTTCAAAGTTTTGTAAAGTTATTAGAAATTTATTTTTATGAAACATCTTCATGAAAATAAAATTGAAGTTGGCCCTGGAGCAATCTAGAAATGCACTGCAGCTAAAGCCACATGTCTGACCATTTTATATTTAAAATCTGAAAATGATAAGTATAAAGCTCTGTATTTAGTTCAATGTTTTTCAAGATCATGTCAAATTACTTTATTTTGATTAGACTCTATTAGCAAACTGATGTTTAGTCATCTTCTGAGTCATCTATTCAGTCTATTGTCTCTATTGTTTTGTGGTGCCCCATTCAGTCTCAGTCTCCCCTGCACACATTTACACCTCTCCAGACTGGTTTTTATGGCTCTAAATATGCATTTCTTTTGTCTGCATTATAGCTACTAACGACTGGCTATTCACAAGCTATTCATAGGGTTTCAAACCCTAATTTCTTTTATCAAAGTTCTCACTAAATATTTGAAACTGGTATCAAATGCACTGAAACATTTCAGTAAGCATTCCTATTTAGAAAAAAATCATAAAACAATAACTGCTCGTGGCAGGTGCGCCTGGGCTCGCTAGCATGTTAGCTTAGCACACCATCAATACACGACCATTTATGAGATTAAAACTATGTTTGCGCTCCAAACTCACTATATAACGCAAGTCTAGTGTTTTAAATAATCTTCTGTGATCTAACTTGGCTTCAGATAAAAAAAAAATCAGACAGAAAATGTATTATTTAGTGTTCTGAACGATGATGAAATCTATATCGATTAGCATTACATTATAAATATAATCTATTATTATGAAATACCTGGCATGGCTTGAAGAACACAGGTAACTCAAATATCATTGCAATCATGTTTATTGTCTTCAAAACATCTTTATCTGCATGTTACAGCGATCTCTGTACTTTCTGTATCACTCAGTGACGTCCTGGAATGTCACATGACTATGGGTCTTCTTCATGATCCATATATGGACTTTTATTGGACATAATAGCGCCCCCATGCTATTGGTATGAATGGAAAACACAGCACATCTCAGTAAGAAGCGATCATTATGATTACATCGACGCATTTGGGTATAAATTCAATAAATATTATTCCTGTCTATAGAAATATGATGTGAATCTATGAGAATATATCAATATTTCTCCACATCTGCACATTGTTGAGCTAAAAGCCCTCAGGGACGTTGTTTTGTGAATCGCTATCATGACGACAGCACGGAGTGTTTTTTATGAATGGACCAGCTGACGCTCATAATTCATATTAAAGGTATCGACTCATTTTTTTCATTTCATAACTCCTGACACAAATTAAGACATAACTGTCACTATAAGTTTCTCAGAATACAATAGTGGTCAAATACTGAATCTTGAGTCTTATATCTTTTTAATGATGTATAGTTTGTCAAGGTATAACATTAAATCTGATAGTATATTTGAACTAAATAAAAAAAAAAACGCTTCAGTGCGCCGACGCTCTGGAGAAGGTTAAGAGGTTAACCTTTTAGGAAACAAAATGGTAAACCGCATAATAAGGGCTTGTTCTGTGAAGCTGATCGTGTCTGATCCCTCAGGTCGGCACGCGGAGGTACATGGCGCCGGAGGTTCTGGAGGGAGCGATTAACTTCCAGCGGGATGCGTTTCTGAGGATAGACATGTACGCCATGGGGCTGGTGCTGTGGGAGCTGGTGTCCCGGTGCAAAGCCTCCGACGGTGAGAGCGCTCACACACACTTCCTCACATCTCAGTCTCCAAGTCTACACACACATCGAAACAGCCTCGTTTGTTTTCTGAAATGACACATGAAAACTGAACTATCTTGCCTTAAAATGAATATAAAATTATGTTCTGTAACAAGAAAAATCCATTTTTTTTTTTTAAAATTGCTTGCCAACAATGACGACGAACTTCATTGTCAATAAGTGTAACCATCTCACCTGACCAATCAGAGTCGGTTCTGAGCCACTAAGCTCCGCCTACTTTAGACACGTTGCTGTTCCTTAGTCGAACCAGAAATTATTCAGACTCCAGATATCATTTTTAAAATATTGTTTTACTAGTGGGTGCAGGACACTATAGTTCATTTATGTAAAATAAAGCAAATTGTGACATATTATACCCAAAAATTATTCATACAGTAAAATGTATACAAATTTGGGACCAAAAAATGATTCCTCCACTTTGAGCTGATGATGTTCTGCTGAAGTGTGTTTTCTGTAATTGCTAATGCTCTTTTTACACACAGACTGAACAACATGAAGCATTGCTTGGTCACTGGTTGAGCTAAACTGGTATTATCTAATTGTGTAGTTAAATTTAACAGCTGACAGATATTCAACATAATTCATGAGAGTCTAAGAGAAGGACGGACAAAACCAGTCAAATATCCACTGAGTTCTGCTCATATTTATTACCATTTTCTAAACTATAGTGAATAAACTGTGATAATGTGAGAAATGTTGAAGGTGTCTGAATAAATGTTGGTTTGACTGTGGTGTGCTCCTTCAGGTCCTGTAGACGAGTACATGCTGCCGTTTGAGGAGGAGATCGGCCAGCATCCGTCGCTGGAGGATCTTCAGGATGTGGTGGTGCATAAAAAGATGCGGCCGGTGTTTAAGGACTGCTGGCTCAAGCATTCGGTGAGTGTGTGTGTGTGTGTGTGTGTGTGTGTGTGTTCATGCTGTTTCTCTCCCCGTGTGTGTGTTCATGCTGTTTCTCTCCCCGTGTGTGTGTGTGTGTGTGTGTGTGTGTGTTCATGCTGTTTCTCTCTACAGAACATGATGTTCTCAGTGCTGTGATGTTTCAACCCGTGTGTGTGTGTGTGTGTGTGTGTTTCTGTTTGTGTGTGTTTCTGTTCGTGTGTGTGTGTTTGTTTGTTTGTTTGTTTGTTTGTTTGTGTGTGTGTGTGTGTGTGTTTGTGAGTGCAAATCATGCTTAGGTTTATCAATAAAAGTTTAATAATTCTACAGAACAGATGTTCTCAATGCTGCGATGTTTAAACCCCTGTGTTGTGTGTGTGTGTGTGGGGGGGTGTTTGTTAGTTTGTATGTGTGTGTGTGTGTGTTTGTGAGTGCAAATCATGTTTAGGTTTATCAATAAAAGTTTAATAATTCTAGAGAACAGATGTTCTCAGTGCTACGATGTTTAAACCCGTGTGTGTGTGTGTGTGTGTGTGTGTGTGTGTGTGCGCGTGTGAATGTGTGTGTGTTTCTGTTTGTGTGTGTGTGTGTGTGTTTCTGTTTGTGTGTGTTTCTGTTCATGTGTGTGTGTGTGTGTGTGTGTGTGTTTCTGTTTGTGTGTGTGTTTGTGAGTGCAAATCATGCATTAGGTTTATCAATAAAAGTGTAATAATTCTACAGAACAGAATGATGTTCTCAGTGATGTTTAAACCCCTGTGTGTGTGTGTGTGTGTGTGTGTGTGTGTGTGTGTGTGTGTGTGTGTGTGTGTGTGTGTGTGTGTGTGTGTGTGTGTGTGTGCGCGCGTGTGAATGTGTGTCTGTGTGTTTCTGTTTGTGTGTGTTTCTGTTCGTGTGTTTGTGTGTGTGTGTGTTTCTGTTTGTGTGTGTGTTTGTGAGTGCAAATCATGCTTGGGTTCATCAATAAAAGTGTAATAATTCTACAGAACAGATGATGTTCTCAGTGCTGTTTACACCCCTGTGTGTGTGTGTGTGTGTGTGTGTGTGTGTGTGTGTGTGTGTGTGTGTGTGTGTGTGTGTGTGTGTGTGTGTGTGTGTGTGTGTGTGTGTGTGTGTGTGTGTGTGTGTGTGTGTGTGTGTGTGCGCACGTGTGAATGTGTGTGTGTGTGTTTCTGTTCGTGTGTTTGTTTGTGTGTGTGTGTGTGTTTGTGAGTGCAAATCATGCTTAGGTTCATCAATAAAAGTGTAATAATTCTACAGAACAGATGATGTTCTCAGTGCTGTTTACACCCCTGTGTGTGTTGTGTGTGTGTGTGCTCAGGGTCTGGCTCAGATGTGCGAGTCGATCGAGGAGTGCTGGGATCATGACGCCGAGGCTCGTCTCTCTGCGGGGTGTGTAGAGGAGCGTCTCTCTCAGATCCGCCGGATCTCCAGCTCTTCTACCTCAGACTGTCTTCTGTCCATGACCTCGGTCACCAACGAGTCCAGCATCTGAAACTCCACCGCAAAACACATTCAAGCAGCTGCTATTTTATCACAACGTTTTTTTAACTTTATTATTATTATTATTATTATTTGTATTTTTTTTTTCTGATCGGATCAGTAACTACCAGCACACTTCTCTACTGTATTTTTATCATTAGAGCAAAAACGCGAAAGATTTTTTAAAATACGACGCGCATTCAGGTGCCGACAAATGAATGCTGACCGGTTGCAGGTACCTCAACATTTCACTTGGTTTTTCTCCTCTTTTTTTGCGTTCTGTTCCGTCTGTCGGACAGGATCGTCTGTGAAAAGCAACCGATACATGACGGCTTCATCTTCGCCGTGTCGGATCATTCAACAGTGCTGCAAAACCTGCGAGGATCATTATGACTGTTACACGCGCAATCCAACCTCCTCGCGGGATCTACCTTTTTATTTCTCTCTCTCTCTCTCTCTCTCTCTGTGTCTCTCTCTCTCTCTCTCTCTTTCTGAAAGTGTGCTATTCGAAATTACAGAAAACGTGTCTTTTACGGAACTAACGGGTGTTAAAGAACACGGAAAACGCAACTGGACTAATTTCTTTCTTTCTTTTTTTTTGTGTTTTTATTTTCATTTTTTTCTTCATGCTGTTGAAGTTGGTGACTGTGAAAAGGTTGGTTGGGGATTTTATTGAGTGGATATGAGTGAAATCTCTCGCTGGCTTGCATGTGGAAATGTCGGACGTCATGAGAGCGTTTAGTTTGGTACGGGAATCTTTCTCAGGTATCCAGTGTCAAAGGTCCATGACTGCCTTTCCCACACCATTATAGGACAGAGACAAGTATAACAGTGCCCTGATCAATTTAACACTAGTTACCTACACGAAACATGCAAGGCCGTGTGTGTGTGTGTGTGTGTGTGTGCTGAGAGTTTGATGAAAAAGAGAAAAAAAGACCATAAAAAGTGTTTGTTTCTCCTGTCTAGTTTCTCTTGTAATAATGCAATGTGTTGTGGAGTGAAGGACTCGCACGGCAGAGGCATTCTGGGTCACATTTTACCTCAAAACCCAAAGAAAAAAATAAGAAATGAATTAAAACGCCTTTTTTAAAAATATATATGACAATTAAGCACATTTTCTCTCAAATTCACTCGACCGTTATTATGCGTCCGGATTATTTACCTTTATTTATGGTGTTTTTCATTTTTCTCAATGTTGATTTTATTACTGTAATACAGTGATTTTAATTAAGAAAAAGTTGATGTATAAAACTGTGTTTTCCTCCAAATTCTCATAAAAGTAATGGATCCAGATCCAGATTTAATTTTTTTTATTAATTCTCATCGTTCTAAGTAGATTCTTAATAGTTTAATTTAATAATTTACGCTTGTTTTAATTAATAAACTCAATACAGGTATCCAACAAATAATGAAATGATTGTATTACACCCAATTATCTTGACCAGATTTCATCCAGATTTTTTTTTTTTTTGTGGTAATTCTCATTAATCTTAATGTTGATTCTAATTAACATCTTATAAATCTGTAAAATAATAATTTACACTTGTTTTTATTAATAAAATCAATCCAGGCAGTCCAACAAATAATGAAATCATGTATAAAAAGATGTTTTTCTCCAAATTATCTTGACCGTAATGCATCAGGATAAAAAAAAAATTTATTTGCATTGTTTTCAATGTTGTTTCTAAGTAGATTCTTATTACTGTAATATAAAAATGTATGATTATTTTAATTAAAAAAACGAATACTGCAATAATCTATAAATTGAAATAGTAAAAAAAAAACTGGCAGAAAATGTGCTTTATAGTTGTGTGTGTTAATAAAAAAAATATATAGGGTAAAGCAAAATATTTTTTCTTTGACTTGAGTGTGAAATATGACCCGGTCTTGTGCGCTTCACGCAGGAAGTGTTTAGTTTCGTGTGCTTTTGCTCGGGTCCCTTCATGCATTACCTCTTTCTAACAGGGACCAAATCTGAGATCTGACCGGCGACATTCAGACTTCAGTTTGGGGCTGCAAATTTGAGAACGTCAAACTAGGTGGCGTTTGACTAATTAGCAAAGAAAAGAAGAAAAAAAACACCACAAGAATGATATTTATTTCGTCTTAAAAGTGGCAGACGGTGATCCACATTTCCATATGCCATAATTCAAGAGTGAATTTCCACAGTGCTGCTGCTCGGATGAAAGAAATGTCCCGTATCTTCTCAGTAAAGTTCATCCTCAGATGCAACCGCGCGTCACCAGACATTCAAAAGCTTCCGAGACGAAAGAGCGCAACTCGAAACAATAAAAATTAGTTATGAAAGGACAAAAAAAAAAAAGCATTAAAGATATTGTTCATAAACCACAGACCACCTCAGACCAGAAATACCTCAGATTTTCTACGTGTTTGACTTCTGTTATATATATTTTGTTAGTTGTGTTGACTTGTAGTAAGTATATTTTGATGTAAGTTGACTTTTATGATTAGGGAAGACGTTTTGGAGAAGTAAAAAAAAATACAAAAAATACAAAAAAAGTCAAATCTTTAAAGAAGTGCTACCAAGTTGTGTTGTATAAATGAGAGAACCCATGATGTAAATAGCTGTATACAGTTGTAGAATCGTGCCGATCAGTCAAACAGGGCATTATTCTTCCTTTCTCTTACTTCACGGGACATTGAACCTTATAACTTTTGGCGCTTCTCCCAAAAAAACTTGCCCCGTGTTTACTTGCACAATTTTTTACGCACCCCTCGTTACTCACGAGGGACGAAATTGAACTTGTTAACTTAAGGATTGACTGTGAACCCTCTGCTTACCAAATGATCTCGGCCAAATTAATGCGGCGAATTCGCAAAGATGGAGCTTTTATTTCAGGGCCAAATAAAGGTTTGGTGTCCCGACCGTCTGTGCCATTTCTGCTCCCTCCCATGATGCACTGCAGCGGTTGCTTCGACTTCCTCTCAAGCCCAGCTTTAAGTTATCTTTTATAGTGGCATATATATATAATATTTAATAACAGGAGATCCGTCTTTGCTCTCGCGGCCTGGCGTGTTTCGTCATACTGTGTTGTGAGTGATGTCATAGTGCGTTCTGGTTGGCGACGCCCATTTTTTTTCCACGCTCTTGCCAATTTCTGGCACGTTACGAGTCCGAAAGTGCCAAAGTAGCGCGTTTCCCAGTGGATCGCTTGGTACGCTTTAGCTGACGTGCATCTGCTTTCCATCTCAGACATCGATACTTTCAGGAAACTGCATTTTCTTCAGGTTAACCGGGAAAGTTCGGATGGTTGTGAGTTTCCAACTGGCTCAGACGATGTAGCAAGCAATATCTCCAGCAATAGTCTGTGCAGACTGAACTTTTGGGCATTGATATATCCACATCAGGCGAACTACCAAAATCATGATAAATGCTGTTCGATCACATCGTAGGCCTTCGTGGCGCTTCAATCAGCTGACCTCGTTTTGTTGGGAATAATCAAACGATATGTAGCCAAATTCCTTCGTCGTGAGGATAACCAAAGGCTTTGATTCATTTGAACATTTGTTGATTGTGATTTACAAGTGTCTTTGTAGCTTAGAAAAGCCAGGTTTTATTATCTGTGAATGTTGATGTTCTGTTGCCAGCCTGTGATCAGATGACGTGAAAGCGTTATGGTTTGTTTTATAAAAGCATCATATTGTGGGCGATTTTAAGGACCGTGAGAGATTGTGATTTATGCAATACGCTTCCACGCTTCATTATGCACTAAAGACAGTGTTTCTCTCCTCCGCTGCCTTGCCAATTACACCTGATCTTCAGCCTCGAAATACTTTTGTATCTCATGAAACATTTCACACCAGAACCAAGTACAAAATTATATTTTAATTGTCTATTTTAGAAGCCTATTTTTAGGATAATTAAAGGCACACCATGTACGATTTTGGGTCTTCAAAATATCCAAAAACCACTAGAACATTAACAATGTTATATATTTTGTCGACTTGTGTACTTGCAGTATCTCAAATGTTTCTAAGAATGTTTAAATCCAGAGAAATACGCGGTTTTAACCGTGCGTCGCCTATCAATGACATCACACCCGCGTTACCCTCGATTTCCGGTTTTATTTTGTAGAAACCATGGAAACACCAGAGAATGTCTAATAGAGAGCCTAAGCCCCTCCCCTTCTGGTCGACCACCACGGGACCTTATTTCGGAAAAATATTGTATGGTATTCAATGGCGAGAGACAACAAATATTTTGATCTCGTTTGAATTGTGCCCTGAATTACACATATGATATTTGTCAATTTAAAAGATACATTTTAAAGTCAAGAAAGTCGCAGTTTGATGTGAAACTGTTGAGGTGTAAGACTGTGAAAATTCGTAATTACAAAGACTACAAACCCCAGAGGCGCACATTTTCTCTCAATGAATGAAGCTAACTTTACTGACGCTAACTTTACTGAAGCGTGTTATGGGCAACAACAACTCAACCTGTAAGAAATCGAAAGGACATAAGCACTCCTTCATTCAACTTTCGACCTATAACCCAGCCTTTCTCAAACTTTTTTCAGTCGGGGCACCTTTCAAAAGTGCATAAAATCTCAAGGCACCCCAGTGTAAAATATAAATTAAAAACACTGCATAACCCAAATGTAAATGCAAATGTCCTGTTTATTTAGACAGAACAGTAATGAACAGAGCATAATACGAACTGTAAATAACAATAATAATAACAACTTTACAGGGCTATCACTTTTGTGAAAAAATCCTGATCGATTTTTGAGACATAAACGTGTCTAAAGACGTTTCCATTTTCAGCGCCAAATATAGGCAAATCCACGGACAACTAACAGGCATTAGCACGAGCGAAAGAGTGCGCTTGAGACGCGCACAAGTCAGCAATATTTCTGATGATTTATTGGCATGAAGTTTCGTGCACAATGACAAACAGGAGTGCAAGATTCTCGAAAAACAATAAGCAGAGTGGACTGCCATAACATCAATGAAAAACATTACTGCAGGCTTCGACATGGCTGTGTTTACGATTAGAAATGTCAAACAAATTTCGCCTACGTAGGCGATTGTAGGCCGGATCTGTATCTGTATGCATGGGACTGTCTGAATACCGGCAGAATTCACATTTTTGTTGTAAAAAGAGACACGTTATGCAGAAGTATAGTATAGTTTGTATGTGTGTTTGTCAGAGCCTGCAGTTGCTGTGTGACGCGCGTTCGCGCGGTCGGTGTTGTTGCTATAACGCGGTGCTATGGGTTGCGTCACTTGCGTCAAGTTGTGTGTGTGTGTCTTGCTTCGGTCTTGTGAGACGGATTTTTATGGTTAATTTTATATATATATATATTTATCTAAAATGAATTTACAATTTTATTAATACGTTCATATGTTTAAAAAGAAGAAGAATGTATTTATGTAAATTCAAATATATATATATATATATATATATATATATATATATATATATATATATATATTTAGCCTACGTAATTTTTTGGCGGCACCCCTGACAAAGTCAGGAGGCACCCCAGTGTGCCGCGGCACCCACTTTGAGAAAGGCTGCTATAACCCATGTTGAACTTGCAAAACCTACAATCCAATCTGAGATTTCTCAACGCCAATCGGGTGAAAGAGACATTTAGCCGTCTAGCTCCATAGACTCCCATTCATTCTGCACTCGGGCGATCGCCCCCAGTGGAACTCTGGTGGAACTACAACCACAATTCGGTACAATCGGACTTAATAGGGTTAATAGTCTCTCCGTAGACGAGCTCTGGAAACACCAAAGACGCTAGACAGGTGAGCAACAGAAAACTAATCATTGTTGTACAGCTAAACACAGTTAGTCTTTTAGTTTAAATCTCGTTTTGTTGATTTACCGCGAATACCGTGTTTTACCATGGCTAATATCGATCTAGTTTACTGCAGTGTGCAACAAGAGTCTCGTATAGTAGCCTAGCCGCCGAGCGAACGCACAGAGTAGCATTATAACAACTTTCATAACTAATATGATAAAACAGCGCTGTGTTATTCCACATATGCGGGATATTAAAAGCTCCACCGCTCTCGAGTCGTGTCGCGCTCGTCTCTCATTAGCAATCGCTCCAGCGGCCTTCGTAGCGTTAATAAATTACCGATCATCCATGAATATGATTCGAGTCCCGTCGTATTCTCCACCGCCTTTGTTTTGAATAAACGACCTCTAGTGGCGGAAAATTACATAGTGTGCCTTTAAGACTATGATGCAAAATTATTTACTTTAATAAATATATATAACTTTTTACAGTAAATAATAAAGTGTGTGTATTGGGGCTGTCAATACTTAAATAAATGGTGCTGCATCTGAATTGGTTTTTGGCAAAACCAACATTATTCAAAATAGTGTGTTCCGCAAAAGAAAGAGAGATTTTTAAACGACAGTAAATGTTAATAAACAGAATTAAAATTTTGGGCAAACTATCCCCAAAATATGAAATAATTTTTTTTTAAGTAAGTGATACTCTAAATAAGAAACTAAAACTGCCAGTGTGTGGCGGTAAACGTCTAAATAAGTGAGCCATTGATTCATTTGATTCGTTCACACGGCTGATTCACTCAGGAATGAAGTAAATGACTCTCTTTATGAACGAGTCATTGAATCATTGGTTCTCCCGGTTGATTAGTTCAAACCGCTGATTCACTCAGAAACGAAACAACAGTTCTACTCTGGCTTTGTAGGTAATATTTTCATTGGAAAAATTTAGCAAAAACAGACAATATTGCGTGTAAAACAACACAAAATGAACTTCTTACTTATTGAACTGTTGATATAAAATCAATATCACATTTCGCGTTAAATCGACAGCCCTAATATATAGGCTATATATATTATTATTATTAATATTATATGCACATATAGTATTATATATATATATATGATCTGGATGTGATTTTTTTTATTTTTTGGTTGTTTTGTGTATGTTTTGTGAGATTCCCTCTTAAACGGACCGTGTGTTTGGAGGGTTTTCCCTGAAAAGGTTTGGTTGAGTTGCGGCTGAGTCTCGGTGCGGATGCGGCTGAGTCTCGGTGAGTCTCGGTGCGGATGCGGCTGAGTCTCGGTGAGTCTCGGTGCAGATGCGGCTGAGTCTCGGTGAGTCTCGGTGCAGATGCGGCTGAGTCTCGGTGAGTCTTGGTGCAGATGCGGCTGAGTCTCGGTGCAGATGCCCTTGAGTCTCGGTGAGTCTCGGTGTGGATGCGGCTGAGTCTCGATGCAGATGCGGCTGAGTCTCGGTGAGTCTCGGTGCAGTTGCGGCTGAGTCTCGGTGAGTCTCGGTGCAGATGCGGCTGAGTCTCGGTGCAGATGCGGCTGAGTCTCGGTGAGTCTCGGTGCAGATGCGGCTGAGTCTTGGTGAGTCTCGGTGCAGATGCGGCTGAGTCTCGGTGAGTCTCGGTGCAGTTGCGGCTGAGTCTCGGTGCAGATGCGGCTGAGTCTCGGTGAGTCTCGGTGCAGTTGCGGCTGAGTCTCGGTGCAGATGCGGCTGAGTCTCGGTGAGTCTCGGTGCAGATGCGGCTGAGTCTCGGTGAGTCTCGGTGCAGTTTACGGCTGAGTCTCGGTGAGTCTCGGTGCAGATGCGGCTGAGTCTCGGTGAGTCTCGGTGCAGTTGCGGCTGAGTCTCGGTGAGTCTCGGTGCAGATGCGGCTGAGTCTCGGTGAGTCTCGGTGCAGTTGCGGCTGAGTCTCGGTGCAGATGCGGCTGAGTCTCGGTGAGTCTCGGTGCAGTTGCGGCTGAGTCTCGGTGCAGATGCGGCTGAGTCTCGGTGAGTCTCGGTGCAGTTGCGGCTGAGTCTCGGTGCAGATGCGGCTGAGTCTCGGTGAGTCTCGGTGCAGTTGCGGCTGAGTCTCGGTGAGTCTCGGTGCAGATGCGGCTGAGTCTCGGTGAGTCTCGGTGCAGTTGCGGCTGAGTCTCGGTGCAGATGCGGCTGAGTCTCGGTGAGTCTCGGTGCAGTTGCGGCTGAGTCTCGGTGCAGATGCGGCTGAGTCTCGGTGAGTCTCGGTGCAGTTGCGGCTGAGTCTCGGTGCAGATGCGGCTGAGTCTCGGTGAGTCTCGGTGCAGTTGCGGCTGAGTCTCGGTGCGGATGCGGCTGAGTTTCCCGCTGGTTTGTGAGCGCAAAGACGGCTTGACGTGATTCATACGTGATTTCAGGAGCGACTCTCTCATGTGCCTGTGTTTTCTGACGAATACTGAAGCGACCGCTGCCGTGTTTTCATCATCTCTCTCTCTCTCTCTCTCTCTCTCTCTCTCTCTCTCTCTCTCTCTCTCTCTCTCTCTCTCTCTCTCTCTCTCTCTCTCTCTCTCTCTCTCTCTCTTTCTCTCTCCCCCACTTTCTGTTCTACCTTGCAGAAAAAGCTATAGAAAATATATATGGAAAAAAAAATCTATATAGATATATCAAATATGAAACTCTAAAAGTGACCAGCTGTAACTCTGGATGCAAATCTTTGGTCCAGGTTTTCAGGAAGCCGATACCTCAGAACTCATGTGAATCAGTGTTGCTTAGCTGGACATTCGTGACACGAACGAAACACGAATCACAAACCTCTTTTGTACTGGTGTGACGATGATGATGATGATGATGATGATGATGAAACAAACCCTTGACAAACTCCTCAAGCTCTTTCCTCCGTGTTTCCTGCAGAAGTTAAAACTCAAACAACTACATGAATTATATTTGACTTGAAACTGATCTATGAGTTATCTGTTAAAAAAAACAGTATACAGTAATAAACAAGCAACTACATAATCTGCGAAACTAATTGTGTAAATTAAGGTTTTTTAAAGAAATTGAAATGTAATAACCTGCTTGATCATGTGTCTTTCCTTCTTTATTATCCATAATGATTTTGAAAACGGGGTGAAAGTGTTTGGGAGTTTAAGATCACGTGTCAAAGTCAGCTGTTAATATTTAGTTTTTATTTGTTACTTTATTTTTATGTTTTATAAATTCAGCTGGAGTTATATATTTATATATATATATATATATATATATATATATATATATACATAAAAAAGCTAAATTTAAAAATAAATACAAATAATATATATATATATATATATATATAATTTAGTTTTATTTGTATTTATTTTTACATTTTTATTTATGTGTTCTTTATTTTGTATTTATTTTTAAATTTAGTTTTTTTATAGAATATTTTATTTTTCATAGAAATATAGTAAAATAAAAAATGTTAACAGCTGAGTTAACATTTTATTTTACTGTATTTTTTTCTAGAATAAAATATTTTATTTTTATTTATGAAACCAGCTGTTATTTTTTTTTCTTATTTTTTTTTTTATTTTTGAATACACTTTTATTTTTAAAGTCAGTTGTTAATGTTTTATTTTTTTTTAAATTTTTTTCCTATTTTAAAATATTTCATCTTTATTTATAAAGTCAGCTGTAAATATTTTCATTTTATTTTAATTTGATTTAAAATTTTACTTTTTTTTTTTAACTTTTTTCTCTCACTTTGGCTTAAATTGAATCTTGTCCCCGACCCGGCGAGTGCATGAGTCCAGGAACACGAGATGAGGAGTTTGTCAAGGCTGATGTTTGAAATGCTGTTTCTTTACCAGAATATGTGAACTGTACATGTTGTAGGTTATCTTTCACTATTGTAGCTGAAACTGTAGAACAGACATGGCTTGTACTACTGATTTTAACATAAATATACTAAAAAGATCTGTATAAGACGAGATGTTTAGAGAGAGGAGCTTGTTGCTGTAAATCCCTCTTGGACTGAAGAGTATGTCAAAGTTTTATCTCTATCAATGCCCTGGTGAATCGACATCCATCGTATCGCCGCACCGAACCGAGGATTTTCTTGAACGATCATTGTAACATAGTTCTTTAATTTGCAGTGAATCATTGTTCCTTTTTACTGTGGTAATCTAGACTCGGTATCAGAGTTTGCAGTAGATCTAGATGTCGGGCTGTGGCTGTTTCTCCTCCGCATTGGTGCCAGAATAAACCAGTATGAATGTAGAATTTGCCCAGTGTGAAACAGCGACACCCCGACTGTTAGAGAAAAAACACTAGAAAGGATTATTTCAATTTTATCTTTTTGTATATGAAAGTAACAATAAATACTGATAAAGCATCATTTGATCTTTGTATCGTCTTTGAAATCTGATTTGCCCTCTTTAGCCACAACGTTTCTAATCAAACACCAGTAAAATTATTTTATAATTAGCCTATATATATATATATATATATATATATATATATATATACACTCACCGGCCACTTTATTAGGTACCCCATGCTAGTAACGGGTTGGACCCCCTTTTGCCTTCAGAACTGCCTCAATTCTTCGTGGCATAGATTCAACAAGGTGCTGGAAGCATTCCTCAGGGAGTTTGGTCCATATTGACATGATGGCATCACACAGTTGCCGCAGATTTGTCGGCTGCACATCCATGATGCGAATCTCCCGTTCCACCACATCCCAAAGATGCTCTATTGGGTTGAGATCTGGTGACTGTGGAGGCCATTTTAGTACAGTGAACTCATTGTCATGTTCAAGAAACCAATTTGAAATGATTAGAGCTTTGTGACATGGTGGAAGTAGCCATCAGAGGATGGGTACATGGTGGCCATAAAGGGATGGACATGGTCAGAAACAATGCTCAGGTAGGCCGTGGCATTTAAACGATGCCCAATTGGCACTAAGGGGCCTAAAGTGTGCCAGGAAAACATCCCCCACACCATTACACCACCACCACCAGCCTGCACAGTGGTAACAAGGCATGATGGTTCCATGTTCTCATTCTGTTTACGCCAAATTCTGACTCTAACATCTGAATGTCTCAACAGAAATCGAGACTCATCAGACCAGGCAACATTTTTCCAGTCTTCAACTGTTCAATTTTGGTGAGCTCTTGCAAATTGTAGCCTCTTTTTCCTATTTGTAGTGGAGATGAGTGGTACCCGGTGGAGTCTTCTGCTGTTGTAGCCCATCCGCCTCAAGGTTGTGCGTGTTGTGGCTTCACAAATGCTTTGCTGCATACCTCGGTTGTAACGAGTGGTTATTTCAGTCACTGTTGCCCTTCTATCAGCTCGAACCAGTCTGGCCATTCTCCTCTGACCTCTGGCATCAACAAGGCATTTCCGCCCACAGAACTGCCGCTCACTGGATGTTTTTTCTTTTTCGGACCATTCTCTGTAAACCCTAGAGATGGTTGTGCGTGAAAATCCCAGTAGATTAGCAGTTTCTGAAATACTCAGACCAGCCCTTCTGGCACCAACAATCATGCCACGTTCAAAGTCACTCAAATCACCTTTCTTCCCCATACTGATGCTCGGTTTGAACTGCAGGAGATTGTCTTGACCATGTCTACATGCCTAAATGCACTGAGTTGCCGCCATGTGATTGGCTGCTTAGAAATTAAGTGTTAACGAGCAGTTGGACAGGTGTACCTAATCAAGTGGCCGGTGAGTGTATATATATAATTATTTATAAAATACAATTATTAATTATATATATATATATATATAGCCTATAAATTAATAAATAGGCTATAATACACACATATATACAGGTCCTTCTCAAAAAATTAGCATATTGTGATAAAGTTCATTATTTTCCATAATGTAATGATAAAAATTAAACTTTCATATATTTTAGATTCATTGCACACCAACTGAAATATTTCAGGTCTTTTATTGTTTTAATACTGATGATTTTGGCATACAGCTCATGAAAACCCCAAATTCCTGTCTCAAAAAATTAGCATATCATGAAAAGGGTCTCTAAACGAGCTATTAACCTAATCATCTGAATCAACTAATTAATTCTAAACACCTGCAAAAGATTCCTGAGGCTTTTAAAAACTCCCAGCCTGTTTCATTACTCAAAACCGCAATCATGGGTAAGACTGCCGACCTGACTGCTGTCCAGAAGGCCATCATTGACACCCTCAAGCAAGAGGGTAAGACAGAAAGAAATTTCTGAACAAATAGGCTGTTCCCAGAGTGCTGTATCAAGGCACCTCAGTGGGAAGTCTGTGGGAAGGAAAAAGTGTGGCAAAAAACGCTGCACAACGAGAAGAGGTGACCGGACCCTGAGGAAGATTGTGGAGAAGGACCGATTCCAGACCTTGGGGGACCTGCGGAAGCAGTGGACTGAGTCTGGAGTAGAAACATCCAGAGCCACCGTGCACAGGCGTGTGCAGGAAATGGGCAACAGGTGCCGCATTCCCCAGGTCAAGACACTTTTGAACCAGAAACAGCGGCAGAAGCGCCTGACCTGGGCTACAGAGAAGCAGCACTGGACTGTTGCTCAGTTTTGCATGTCATTCGGAAATCAAGGTGCCAGAGTCTGGAGGAAGACTGGGGAGAAGGAAATGCCAAAATGCCTGAAGTCCAGTGTCAAGTACCCACAGTCAGTGATGGTCTGGGGTGCCATGTCAGCTGCTGGTGTTGGTCCACTGTGTTTTTTCAAGGGCAGGGTCAATGCAGCTAGCTATCAGGAGATTTTGGAGCACTTCATGCTTCCATCTGCTGAAAAGCTTTATGGAGATGAAGATTTAATTTTTCAGCATGACCTGGCACCTGCTTACAGTGCCAAAACCACTGGTAAATGGTTTACTGACCATGGTATTACTGTGCTCAATTGGCCTGCCAACTCTCCTGACCTGAACCCCATAGAGAATCTGTGGGATATTGTGAAGAGAAAGTTGAGAGACGCAAGACCCAACACTCTGGATGAGCTTAAGGCCGCTATCGAAGCATCCTGGGCCTCCATAACACCTCAGCAGTGCCACAGGCTGATTGCCTCCATGCCACGCCGCATTGAAGCAGTCATTTCTGCAAAAGGATTCCCGACCAAGTATTCCCGACTATTGAGTGCATAACTGAACATAATTATTTGAAGGCTGACTTTTTTTTTTGTATTAAAAACACTTCTTTTATTGGTCGGATGAAATATGCTAATTTTTTGAGACAGGAATTTTGGGGTTTCATGAGCTGTATGCCAAAATCATCAGTATTAAAACAATAAAAGACCTGAAATATTTCAGTTGGTGTGCAATGAATCTAAAATATATGAAAGTTTAATTTTTATCATTACATTATGGAAAATAATGAACTTTATCACAATATGCTAATTTTTTGAGAAGGACCTGTGTGTGTATATATATATATAAAATTATAATTTATATATAATGAATTTATATATATTTATATATATTCGTTAAATATAAATTATTTGTGTGTACAGTCAGTGTGTATATGTATATATGTGTATATTCACAGGTCCTCGGATCTGATTGGCTGAGAGGCGATCAGCCCCATGCGAATCACAGCCGTGCTGATAGTTATATCACACGGCTGCTTGTGTGATATTGCTCATATAATAATCTTTATTTAAATGTAAAATATTTAAGTTGTACATTTTCTTCACCCATGCGTGAGTTCTTTCTGATGTAGTTCTGTGTTTCAGCCGCTAGACGGCGGTGTGATGAAACCGGTCTGATGTTCAGCGCTCATGCGCCGCTCTTCACTCACACACACACACACACACTCTCACAAACGCAGCTTGTGTTCGTGTGTATGTGATGTTATATTTCATTTAACGTTAATGTTATTAACCGTCATATATAATGATGGTGTCAGTGAGGTTCATCAGCGGCTTCGTGTTCGGCGCTGGTTCCGGTGTCGCGGCTCTCAAACTATATCAGTATGAAGAAGAGAAAACACACACAGGTAAAACTAACGTTACTCTCAAACTATATCAGTGTGAAGAAGAGAAAACACACAAGTAAACTACTTTATGAATCACAAATACATTACTGATTAATAAAGAGATGCTGAACAGATCAATAGTTCATGTACAATCTCACACAGAGAGAGACGGAGAGAGTGTGTGTGTATATATATATATATATATGAGTGTAAGAGAGAGTGTGTGTGTGTGTATGTATGAGTGTAAGAGAGAGTGTGTGTGTAGGGGAGACCGGGGCAAGTTGTCACACGGTTACTCCAATGATATTTTTGAAGTTTGTTTCTGTACAGGAACAAACATTAAACTCTTTTATTTCCATTCATTGTTGCCCAGGGAAAATAAGTTACCTTTATTTATTTTGTATATTATTTTTATTCAATGCCTACATCATTATTATGTCACTAATAACAACATTAGCTAAGTTACATAAATTCCAGTGCTTTTTTACTTCATTCCAAAAAGGTTTATAGGTATAATTTATAATCTGTAAGTTATTTGGTTTCCACAGATCCCACTTCTTCTTTAAAATGTATATGGTGAATTTCTAATAAAATTAATTATTGCTTAAAGTATTACATTCTGAAAATAATCATATCAAAAACACTCATTTCTGTTGTTTGTCCCATTTAATAAAGATTTCTTAGTTCTTCCAAAATGCTAAATAAAATGCTAAATTGTTTCTTTTTCCCGTCATACAAAATTCTCAGGTAAATAATAATCTCTCCAAAAACATGGATAAATCCTGTGTAGTATTTTCTTCTTTAATTTGTTAGACTGTTTTGCATGTGCTTTAATCAGGGACGTTTAAATACTGTATTAATATTCATGTTGTGACATATCAATGAAAGTTTTGAAATATGTTACTATGTGTAAGTCCTGTGTAAAATCTGCTGTGATCTGCAGGAAGCTCCGCCCATCGCCTGATCGAGCGCTTCGGTCTTCCGCAAACCGGCGCCGAGACCCGGTTCTACATCAACCACGTGTTATCCTACGATCAGAGCCGGCGGACGCCCAGATGGGTGGCAGAACATCTGTCGGGTCAAAGGTTACTGGGTGAGTCGGGTCAAAGGTTACTGGGTGAGTCTGAGGTTACTGGGTGAGTCTGGTCCTGTCGGGTCAGAGGTTACTGGGTGAGTCTGGTCCTGTCGGGTCAAAGTTTACTGGGTGAGTCTGGTCCTGTCGGGTCAGAGGTTACTGGGTGAGTCTGGTCCTGTCGGGTCAAAGTTTACTGGGTGAGTCTGGTCCTGTCGGGTCAGAGGTTACTGGGTGAGTCTGGTCCTGTCGGGTCAAAGTTTACTGGGTGAGTCTGGTCCTGTCGGGTCAGAGGTTACTGGGTGAGTCTGGTCCTGTCGGGTCAAAGTTTACTGGGTGAGTCTGGTCCTGTCGGGTCAGAGGTTACTGGGTGAGTCTGGTCCTGTCGGGTCAGAGGTTACTGGGTGAGTCTGGTCCTGTCGGGTCAAAGTTTACTGGGTGAGTCTGGTCCTGTCGGGTCAGAGGTTACTGGGTGAGTCTGGTCCTGTCGGGTCAGAGGTTACTGGGTGGGTCTGGTCCTGTCGGGTCAGAGGTTACTGGGTGAGTCTGGTCCTGTCGGGTCAGAGGTTACTGGGTGGGTCTGGTCCTGTCGGGTCAGAGGTTACTGGGTGAGTCTGGTCCTGTCGGGTCAGAGGTTACTGGGTGGGTCTGGTCCTGTCGGGTCAAAGGTTACTGGGTGGGTCTGGTCCTGTCGGGTCAGAGGTTACTGGGTGAGTCTGGTCCTGTCGGGTCAGAGGTTACTGGGTGAGTCTGGTCCTGTCGGGTCAGAGGTTACTGGGTGAGTCTGGTCCTTTCGGGTCAGAGGTTACTGGGTGAGTCTGGTCCTTTCGGGTCAGAGGTTACTGGGTGGGTCTGGTCCTGTCGGGTACTGGGTGAGTCTGGTCCTTTCGGGTCAGAGGTTACTGGGTGGGTCTGGTCCTGTCGGGTCAGAGGTTACTGGGTGAGTCTGGTCCTGTCGGGTCAGAGGTTACTGGGTGGGTCTGGTCCTGTCGGGTCAGAGGTTACTGGGTGAGTCTGGTCCTGTCGGGTCAGAGGTTACTGGGTGGGTCTGGTCCTGTCGGGTCAGAGGTTACTGGGTGAGTCTGGTCCTGTCGGGTCAGAGGTTACTGGGTGGGTCTGGTCCTGTCGTGTCAAAGGTTACTGGGTGGGTCTGGTCCTGTCGGGTCAGAGGTTACTGGGTGAGTCTGGTCCTGTCGGGTCAGAGGTTACTGGGTGAGTCTGGTCCTGTCGGGTCAGAGGTTACTGGGTGGGTCTGGTCCTGTCGGGTCAAAGGTTACTGGGTGGGTCTGGTCCTGTCGGGTCAGAGGTTACTGGGTGAGTCTGGTCCTGTCGGGTCAGAGGTTACTGGGTGAGTCTGGTCCTGTCGGGTCAGAGGTTACTGGGTGAGTCTGGTCCTTTCGGGTCAGAGGTTACTGGGTGAGTCTGGTCCTTTCGGGTCAGAGGTTACTGGGTGGGTCTGGTCCTGTCGGGTACTGGGTGAGTCTGGTCCTTTCGGGTCAGAGGTTACTGGGTGGGTCTGGTCCTGTCGGGTCAGAGGTTACTGGGTGGGTCTGGTCCTGTCGGGTCAGAGGTTACTGGGTGAGTCTGGTCCTGTCGGGTCAGAGGTTACTGGGTGAGTCTGGTCCTTTCGGGTCAGAGGTTACTGGGTGAGTCTGGTCCTGTCGGGTCAGAGGTTACTGGGTGGGTCTGGTCCTGTCGGGTCAGAGGTTACTGGGTGAGTCTGGTCCTGTCGGGTCAAGGTTACTGGGTGAGTCTGGTCCTGTCTGGTCCTTTCGGGTCAGAGGTTACTGGGTGAGTCTGGTCCTGTCGGGTCAGAGGTTACTGGGTGGGTCTGGTCCTGTCGGGTCAGAGGTTACTGGGTGGGTCTGGTCCTGTCGGGTCAGAGGTTACTGGGTGAGTCTGGTCCTGTCGGGTCAAGGTTACTGGGTGAGTCTGGTCCTGTCGGGTCAGAGGTTACTGGGTGAGTCTGGTCCTGTCGGGTCAGAGGTTACTGGGTGGGTCTGGCCCTTTCGGGTCAGAGGTTACTCGGTGGGTCTGGTCCTGTCGGGTCAGAGGTTACTGGGTGGGTCTGGTCCTGTCGGGTCAGAGGTTACTGGGTGGGTCTGGTCCTGTCGGGTCAGAGGTTACTGGGTGAGTCTGGTCCTGTCGGGTCAGAGGTTACTGGGTGGGTCTGGTCCTGTCGGGTCAGAGGTTACTGGGTGAGTCTGGTCCTGTCGGGTCAAGGTTACTGGGTGAGTCTGGTCCTGTCGGGTCAAGGTTACTGGGTGGGTCTGGTCCTGTCGGGTCAGAGGTTACTGGGTGAGTCTGGTCCTGTCGGGTCAGAGGTTACTCGGTGAGTCTGGTCCTGTCGGGTCAGAGGTTACTCGGTGAGTCTGGTCCTGTCGGGTCAGAGGTTACTGGGTGAGTCTGGTCCTTTCGGGTCAGAGGTTACTGGGTGGGTCTGGTCCTGTCGGGTCAGAGGTTACTGGGTGGGTCTGGTCCTTTCGGGTCAGAGGTTACTGGGTGAGTCTGGTCCTGTCGGGTCAGAGGTTACTGGGTGAGTCTGGTCCTGTCGGGTCAGAGGTTACTGGGTGAGTCTGGTCCTGTCGGGTCAGAGGTTACTGGGTGGGTCTGGTCCTGTCGGGTCAGAGGTTACTGGGTGAGTCTGGTCCTGTCGGGTCAGAGGTTACTGGGTGGGTCTGGTCCTGTCGGGTCAGAGGTTACTGGGTGGGTCTGGTCCTGTCGGGTCAGAGGTTACTGGGTGGGTCTGGTCCTGTCGGGTCAGAGGTTACTCGGTGAGTCTGGTCCTGTCGGGTCAGAGGTTACTCGGTGAGTCTGGTCCTGTCGGGTCAGAGGTTACTGGGTGAGTCTGGTCCTGTCGGGTCAGAGGTTACTGGGTGAGTCTGGTCCTGTCGGGTCAGAGGTTACTCGGTGAGTCTGGTCCTGTCGGGTCAGAGGTTACTGGGTGGGTCTGGTCCTGTCGGGTCAGAGGTTACTGGGTGGGTCTGGTCCTGTCGGGTCAGAGGTTACTGGGTGGGTCTGGTCCTGTCGGGTCAGAGGTTACTGGTTGGGTCTGGTCCTGTCGGGTCAAAGGTTACCGGGTGAGTCTGGTCCTGTCGGGTCAGAGGTTACTGGTTGGGTCTGGTCCTGTCGGGTCAAAGGTTACTGGGTGAGTCTGGTCCTGTCGGGTCAGAGGTTACTGGTTGGGTCTGGTCCTGTCGGGTCAGAGGTTACTGGTTGGGTCTGGTCCTGTCGGGTCAGAGGTTACTGGTTGGGTCTGGTCCTGTCGGGTCAGAGGTTACTGGTTGGGTCTGGTCCTGTCGGGTCAGAGGCAGAACCATCGCTCTGATTCTGATGCTCTTCATCTCTTTATCAGGTCAAGCCGACAGAAAACACTGCAAATTTAAACCGGATCCCGAGATTCCCGAGGCCTTCACGGCCCGGAACGAGGATTACCTGAGGAGCGGCTGGTCTCGCGGACACATGGCTCCGGCCGGAGACAACAAGATCTCTGAGGTCCAGTTCATTCAGAACAATCAAACAGAATATATATTATTTTAGAGAGTTTAGAGATTAGCGTGATTCAACCCTATGGATATGGAGGGACAATAGTACTCAATTAAATCAATAAATAAATGTTGAGATGTTGTTAAATGCAAAAATATATTGTTAATAAAACATAAAAATCATTTAATTATGAAATCACCAAACAAATTAATAAATATATTTTATTTTAGCATTTTTACACAGCAAAAAAAAAAAGTATTAATTTGTTTGGTGATTGTTTTATTAACATTTTTTATTGTGCATTTAATCATATATTTCTAATGTAGTTCTGTGTTTTGGCCGCTAGATGGCGGTGTGATAAATTATTTTATAAATCCCAGAATATTTATTTTTATACATTTTTTATTTTAATATTATTTATTTAAATATAAATGTACAATGAAATGAGGCATGAAATACATGTATTTGTTTATTTCATGTCAAATGAAAAAGGACATGCAATACCACTAAAGAACTCATGAAGTACAAACTGAAACACCTTGAAATAAAATGTAGTTGATAACAAGACAAATGAGTATATCATGAAATTGAATAAATTATTAAATGTTGCAATTAATATAAGCATAATGAAAAGTGGATACAAATAATTGAAATGTATTTATTTACCTAAAATGAAAAGTGACCTGAAATATGACATGCATTTCATTGTACTTTTAATTATTTATTGCAAGATTCCATTACTTATTTTCATGATTTAATTTAGACTGTATAAATCGCTCCATAAAACAGATTAATTTCTTTCTTATTGAAATATTATCATTATTCTGTCCACAGCAAGCGATGGCAGAGACTTTCTATCTGTCCAACATCGTCCCACAGAACTACGAGAACAACGCAGGCTTCTGGAACAGGTGTGTGTTTCTGTCAGTGTGTGTGTGTGTGTGTCTGTCAGTGTGTGTGTGTGTGTGTCTGTCAGTGTGTGTGTGTGTGTGTGTGTCTGTGTGTGAGAGAGAGAGAGAGAGAGAGAGAGTGTGTGTGTGTGTGTGTGAGAGTGTGTGTCTGTCAGTGTGTGTGTGTGTGTCTGTCTGTCAGTGTGTGTGTGTGTGTGTGTGTGTGTGTGTGAGTGAGTGTGTGTGTCGGTCAGTGTGTGTGTGTGTGTGTCTGTCAGTGTGTGTGTGTGTGTGTGTGTGAGAGAGAGTGTGTGTGTGTGTGTGTGTGTGTGTGTCTGTGTGTGAGAGAGAGAGAGAGAGAGAGAGAGTGTGTGTGTGTGTGTGTGAGAGTGTGTGTCTGTCAGTGTGTGTGTGTGTGTCTGTCTGTCAGTGTGTGTGTGTGTGTGTGTGTGTGAGTGAGTGTGTGTGTCGGTCAGTGTGTGTGTGTGTGTGTCTGTCAGTGTGTGTGTGTGTGTGTGTGTGAGAGAGAGAGTGTGTGTGTGTGTGTGTGTGTGTGTGTGTGTGTGTGTGTGTGTGTGTGTGTGTGTGTGTGTGTGTGTGTGAGTGTGTGTGTCTGTCAGAGTGTGTGTGTCTGTTAGTGAGTGTGTGTGTATGTCTGTCAGTGTGTGTGTGTGTGTCAGTCAGTGTGTGTCTCACGGTGTCTGTTGGGGTGAGTGTGTGTGTCTGTGAGTGTGTGTGTGTGTGTGTGTGTGTGTGTGTGAGTGAGAGAGAGTGTGTGTGTGTGTCTGTCAGTGTGTGTGCGTGAGTGTGTGTGTCTGTCAGTGTGTGTGTGTGTGTGTGTGTGCGTGTGTGTGTGTGAGAGTGAGTGAGTGTGTGTGTCGGTCAGTGTGTGTCTGTCAGTGTCTGTGTTGGGGTGAGTGTGTGTGTCTGTCAGTGAGTGAGTGAGTGTGAGTGTGTCGGTCAGTGTGTGTCTCACGGTGTGTGTGTGAGTGTGTGTGTCGGTCAGTGTGTGTCTCACGGTGTCTGTGTTGGGGTGTGTGTGTGTGTGAGTGTGTGTGTCGGTCAGTGTGTGTGTCTCACGGTGTCTGTGTGTGTGTGTGTGTCGGTCAGTGTGTGTGTCTCACGGTGTCTGTGTTGGTGTGTGTGTGTGTGTGTGTGTGTCGGTCAGTGTGTGTGTCTCACGGTGTCTGTGTGTGTGTGTGTGTGTGTGTGTAGCAGCACTCCTCATGTGCTGGTGTTGTCCTGTCAGGTTGGAGATGTACTGTCGAGATCTGACTCAGAGGTTCAGTGACGTGTGGCTGGTGTCTGGACCGCTGATGCTGCCGCAGGTGCGCGAGGACGGACACAAGAGCGTCTCCTATCAGGTGAGCGGCAAGAACAACACAACAGAAAATACATGGCAGAAAACGTTACACACACATTGATTTGCCACATATCAAAATACCTTTAAAATCATACCTTTTTATCAAATTTTGTCTGGTTTCATAGCATTTTTGTTTTTTTAATAAAGCATATGAAGGATATTAGTGCAAAAATGAGGCAAATAACACACGCATCATTCAGTCCCTCCAGAAAAACGTGATTATGCGATCGCATGATTCAGTGCATAATCAGCCAAAGTCTGCATATTTATGCGGGGGCATTTTTTCAAATACGCCGCACTTTCGCCGCATAAATTGCCGATTTCCGTGCAAAATATGCGGGGCTTGATTTCATAATCCTCGCATTTTCATTGCAAAAAAGTCACATATATCTCAGCAGAAAATTTAAAAATGTTGCGTTCTCGTCACACAAGCCGTTTCCCCCTGTTGCCATGGGAACGTTATGAAGTGACGTAATCACGCAACGTGAACATCATCGAAAAGCTGTAAAACAGGAGCACACTTTATTTTTAAATATTTTATTTATTCATTTTTACAGAAGTTGTAGCATATTCCTTTAGTAAAGCTACAGAACTCGTTTGACTCATCAATGTTTTGTAAGTTTGATGTGTTTATTAAGATCTGAAATAAATCAAGATGAACTGAAATATTCCAGCTCTTTCTGTGATGTAGTTATGCTTGCTTATCATAGGAAGGAATAAGAAATGACTCTTTACAGTAAGGTAGGAGCCTAGAGAGAACAGGGTGTTGGGGAATCACTTTATCCTCTCTTTTTCATCAAACCGCAGTTTATGGAAGTTCCCGCAATTTCATAATAAAATTGCATAAATATCCCGCATATTCCATCGCATTTTTAAAGAAAACGGGCCGCGTAATCAAGGATTTTTGCCCGACACAATCACAAAAAAACTCGGTGTTTGTCTGGAAGGACTGATCATTAGAGAATCTCATTAAGATAATGAACACATCATGGAAAAATTATAATTCTTATTATTATAGCATATACCGAAAATATCTTCAAAATCCTACATTTTTATAGAATTGTCAGATTTTTATATTAATTTATACTCCTAAAGGAAATTCTGAATTCTGTATTTTAGCCATAAACACTTTAGTTTCAGAAAGATGTTTGTTTTCCTCTCTTGATTATTCTGAAAAATATTATAAAAACTGAAACTGTAATGATAACGTTTGTCCAGCAGGTGGCGCTCACGCACCTCACACACACACACACACATCAGCTGACTCCGTCTTAAACTATACGAAGCCTCTCTTTTCAACCTCAAACAGACCTTTAATCGATGATTTCTGCGTGTATCGTCCCTCATCGATGACGCTTTTATGTAATAATATTAACGACTGAATGAAAAGGATGTTTTGCGTAACAGAAATGACTCCAGCTGGCTTCACAGGGACAGATTTGGTTTTGCGCGTGTGTAAATGGACACAGACAGGTTCCCCGAGGCTCTGAACTCTTGCAAATGAGCCGAGACAGAAGCCACGTCACCTCCATCTAAACACACACTGCACTCCGGGGACGTGTGTGTGTGTGTGTGTGTGCCGATCCGCTCCCGTTTCAGGGAATTATGTGCTTATTCAGCGAGCCGTCTGATGGGAATTTGGGTAACCGTGAATGTGCGGGCGGTTCTTTGAGAGGAACTCAGTCTAACCATGACAGCTCCAGTTTTGCTTTGTCATTCTGATCTGTGTAGTTTCATCAGAAATAATAATAATAATAATCGGTCTCATTAACCATCAACTGATGCTTGCTTTCATAGTCCCGCCTCTCCATCAGCTGTCAGAGTAACAAAATACACATTCAAAAAATACATGTTAAAAAGATCATTCTGTCATTATTTACTATGGAGCACAGAAAGCAGATGCTTGGCAGGATGTTCATGCTGCTCTTTTCTTTATAATGAAAGTGAATGAGGACAAAAAATGCCTCTATTAAATATGCTTTTTCACGTTCATCTTTCTTCACTGTGTAATGTTGCTGTTTGAGCATGAAGAAGATCTTCTCTATATCAGTGTCAGTGTTTCTGAACTCCTGAAACGCCTCCATTGTAGTCTTGAGTTTCTTCCGGGAACGAACACGTCACAATATTCCTCATTATAATAATTCATACGCAGAATAAAGGGGCGGGGCCTGGTTGAGTGAGTCAGTAGTGTGTTAAACTGGAGGTTATGGAAAGGGGCGGGGCATTTCCCAAACACACTCGAAGCGCTCGACCAATCACAGCACACTGCTCCAGCCGACCAATCAGAGCACAGTGTGCTTTTCAGGAGGAGGGGCTTCATAGAGACAGGAAGTAAACAGAGCGTTACTGACAGACTGGGAAGAGAGGAGCCGCAACAATGGAGAATATGAGGAGAATAATCAACATTCAAGCAGGAAAACCTGTTCTAGTAGAGCCTGAAACTACATTAAGATTTTGAATAGGGAATAATATGGATCTTTAAGTCATATATAGTGCATAAGTCGTATGGATTACTGTTATGACACATCTATGTTGTCTTTTTTGTTCTTATTAAAGCCTGGCAGTGTTCAAGCCCATTCAGTTTTAAATGTATGGAAAAGACCATCTGGGAAAAATTTTACATAATCATGTTGTATAAATTTAAATCAAAGTTCAGTATGTTGACAGAACTTGCATGCATGAACTAACTCTTTGATTAAATTTTTTTTATTTTTTTTTTATCCCAGAATATTTTTTTTTATAAACACCTTTTTTGAAAGAAATTAAGGCTTTTATTCAGCAAGGATACATTACAGTAAAGACATTTATAAAAGATTCTATTTAAAAATAAATGCTGTTCTTTTCTATTCATCAAAGAATCCTGAAAATAAAATGTATCAGTTTCCACAAAAATTAACATTTCAACACTGATAATAATCATAACGGTTTCTTGAGCATCAGATCAGCATATTAGAGTGATTTCTGAAGGATCATGTGACACTGAAGACTGGAGTAATGATGCTGAAAATACAGCTTTGATCACAGGAATAATTTACACTTTACTGTATATTCACATAGAAAACAGATATTGTAAATTGCAATAATATTTCACATTTTTACTGCATTTTTGATCAAATAAATGCAGCCTTGGTGAGCAGAAGAGACTCTTAAAACACTCACGTCCCCAAACTTGTGAACACTAGAGTATATATTTACCTTTTATTTATTATTATTATAGATATCTGTCCATCTTTATTCTGCCGGAGTGTAAATTGCACCAAGCACTCACATTGATAATCCAGAATGGGAAGGTAGTTAAAAAAAATCAAATAAAAACCTCATATATATATATATATATATTATTATTATTTTTTTCAATAAATATATGATATAAAAAAAATAAAAAAAACATTCATAATCCAGGATGGCAAAGTAGATAAAATATATATAAAATGTATTTTCTTTGGATATTGTCTTATCTTCCTTGTTGTTTTTTCAATAAAAATATGTTATAAGTTAAATATGGTCAGCCTTGGTTGTTGTTATTGTATAATAATCCCTGATTCCTGTGACAGCTGATTGGGAAAGACGACGTTGCGGTTCCCACACACCTCTTCAAGATCGTCCTCGCGCAGAAGGACTTGTCTCCGGACTCTCTGGCTCTCGGGGCGTTCGTGGTCCCGAACTCTCCGATCGGGTTCGAGCGCCCCCTCACAGACTTCCAGGTGAGCCTGACGGACTTACAGCGCATGTCCGGCCTGAGCTTCTTCCCCGCGCTGGAGCGGCTCGAGGAGCCGAGGAACCTGTGTGAGGTGGACTCGTGTCGGCTGATGGACTTCACGCAGTTCTCGCTCTACATCAGCGGGCGGAAGGTCACGAGCGCCAGGACTCTCTCTCGCCTGGAGAAGATCATGGCGGAGCTCACACACGCAGGCATCACACCCGACGAGCATCTCCAGACCCTGTACCTGGAGAAGAGACGAGAGCTGGTGGAGAAGGAGCAGCGCGAGAACAAGCCTGAGCTCTGAGCCGTCCGGGTTTCGTTGTGTTTTACTTGTTAATGTCGTTTAAAAGTTACATTGCAATCTTACTTGAAATCCGTGTGCAACGTTTACACCAATAAAGTGTTTTATTTCTCATTTGCTGTTGTTGTTGTTGTTTTGCTTTCATATTTATCATCCAGGGCTCTGTCATAGTGATTTTAAGACCTAGAACAGTCTTGGAAATTAATATAATCTTTCATTAGTCAATATTAGTGTTATTTTTGTTGATTTAAAAAAAAAAAAAAATTGGCGTTGACCAATAACCACTGCCTAAAAGTGGCTGAATTTTGAGTCAATGTTAATATTTTTTGGGGATTTTATGGATCTTTTTTGCTTCTCGTTGTTTCATAACTGAGGAACTTTGCAAAATTGACACTATTATTGAACGAAGTTGAGCTTAATAATGACCAGTGTTGTTTTAGTATTATTGAGATATTGTTTATATATATATATATACACTACCGTTCAAAAGTTTGGGGTCGGTACGATTTTAAATACTTTTAAAAGAATTCTCTTCTGCTAACCATGGCTGCGCTTATTTGATTAAAAATACAACAAAAATCAGTTATAGTATTAAATATTATTCCAGTGTAAATCAGCTGTTTTCTGTGTGAATATATAGTAAAGTGTAATTTATTCCTGTGATCAAAGCTGAATTTTCAGCATCACCAGTGTCAGTGTCTTCAGTGTCAAATGATCCTTCACAAATCAGTATAATATGAGGATTTGATGCTCAAGAAACATTTATTATTATTATCAATGTTGAAACAGTTGTTGGTCTGTCAGTTGTACAGTTTTTTTTAGTTTTTTTTTTGGATTCTTTGATGAATAGGAAGTTCAAAAGAACAGCATTTGTCTGAAATAGAATCTTTTGTAACATTATAAATGTCTTTACTGTCCTTGATAAATAAAAGTATTGATTTCTTTCCTCCAAAAAATATAAATAAAATTCTCACTGACCCCAAACTTTTGAACGGTAGTGTATATAATTTATTCATTTTTAATTCATTTTTGGTTTGTATTTTCATTTAAATTTTTCTTAAAGTTTGTCATTTTTTTTGTCATTATTATCTTTTTTTTCTCTCTATTATATCTGTATATTTTATTTTATTTTTATTTATTGTTGAATTTTAAATAAATACAAATATTAAATAATAAACATATTATTGTTATATTTATATTGATTCATTTTTATTTTAGTTATATTTTAGTACAAAATTAAACTAAATGAAACGCTGATTTTTAAAAATATTTAATTTTAAATCATTATCTTAATTATATAGTAAATAATTTAATATTTTTAGTTTGTTTTAGTTGACCCTGATTGTCTTCTGCAAATGAATTGAATTTGTTTAATAATTAATGAATTTTACAATATTAACACTGTTATTATCCTGTTCATAAGCAATCAGCATTACATAAAGTGCAGTAGAAATCACTAAACGGTATCTGTATTTGCACTCGCCCACGATCAGTATAAATGTGTCCAGTTGTTCCCCGTCTTTATAAGTGCCTTGCGTGACGATACACTCATTATCGCGTCACAAACGGCTGTAAATGTCACCGGTTTCTTTATGAACATGACTGAGAGTGTTGGCTTTGCGTGAGGGATGTGATGTGATGTTGAGATGGATGTGTTCAGCGCTCATGTCTCTGGTCTGATGAAGGACTCCTCATCAATAACTCCTCAGATGCACTGCACCTCCTGACAGAAGCCGCATGTAATTGCGTTTGACGTCGAGATTGCGGCGCAGTAAAACACAGATGTGTGTGAGTCCGCTGCACTTGTCAGTGTTAGTCTGGGGAAACCTGCCGTTTGACTGATGGAGCATCAGAAGAAATTAACATACTAAGTACAGAAGGATAGGAAGTAAGCACTTATATATATATATATATGCATAATTTAGTGTGTTGTGTTGATTAATATCAAACATCAGATGCATAAACGTGATTTTTTTAATCTTGCAGAAGTGGAGATTGTTTGCTGCATTGTGGCTGACTCCTGTATTCATGTGACCTCTATGTGAAATGCTCATTAAAGGTCAAAGGTCAAGTGAGGCGGGTAAGTGTATCTGACCTTTGACCCCCAGAGCAGCGTCAGAAATCAAATGGGATGTTTTTATCATTGATAATGATCATAAAATGCAAATAAAACAGGAACGTTTATTTTTTTTTATATTTAAGAACATTGCGTACTTTATGAGGAACATTTAATAGCTTCATTAAATCATTTGAGGCAAATGTTCAGACTGAGCCAGTGTGACTTACTATGGCTATCAGTCAGCATCACGGACAAGAATAGCTGTGCTTACATTTAAAATAAGCACTGCTTATTAACAACTTGCATGAGTTTACAGTCAGATTAGGTCTTTAGTCGTTTATTATCTTTACCTCGTCAGAGCTGATTTTATTTTTTTCTATTATTTTTAAAGTAAACATCTATTTATATTAGTTAGCTAAGTAGGTTAGACCTATCTAAGTAGGTTGCTAAGATGTGTTCTAGGTGGTTTCTAGGTGGTAGCTAAGGTGTACTGGGTGGTTGCTAGGAGGTAGCTAAGGTGTTCTGGGTGGTTGTCAGGAGGTTGCTAAGATGATGTTCTGTGTGGTTGAAAGAATAATGCTAAGGTGTTCTGTGTGGTTGCTAGGAGGTTTCTAAGATGTTGTAGGTGGTTGCTATGAGGGGTTTTTTATGATGTAGGTGGTTGCTAAGGTGTTCTAAGTTGATTATAGATTGCTAAGATGATGTCCTGGGTGGTTGCTAAGGGGTTCTGGTTGGTTGCTAGGAGGTTTCTAAGATGTGGCAAAGATGTTCTAAGTGGTTGAATGGAGGTTGCTATGATGTTCTGGGTGGTTGGTAGGAAGATGCTAAGGTGTTTTGAGTGGTTAATAGGAGGTTGCTAAGATTTTTTGAGTAGATGATAGGAGGTTGCTAAGATGCTGTTCTGGGTGGTTGCTAGGAGGTAGCTAAGGTGTTCTGGGTGGTTGTCAGGAGGTTGTTAAGATGATGTTCTGTGTGGTTGAAAGAATAATGCTAAGGTGTTCTGTGTGGTTGCTAGGAGGTTTCTAAGATGTTGTAGGTGGTTGCTATGAGGGTTTTTTTATGATGTAGGTGGTTGCTAAGGTGTTCTAAGTTGATTATAGATTGCTAAGATGATGTCCTGGGTGGTTGCTAAGGGGTTCTGGTTGGTTGCTAGGAGGTTTCTAAGATGTGGCAAAGATGTTCTAAGTGGTTGAATGGAGGTTGCTATGATGTTCTGGGTGGTTGGTAGGAAGATGCTAAGGTGTTTTGAGTGGTTAATAGGAGGTTGCTAAGATTTTTTGAGTAGATGATAGGAGGTTGCTAATATGCTGTTCTGGGTGGTTGCTAGGAAGTTGCTAAGGTGTTTTGAGTAGATTATAGGAGGTTGCTAAGATGATTTTCTGGGTGGTTGCTAGGAGGTTGCTAAGGTGTTCTGAGCAGTTGATAGGAGGTTTCTAAGATGATTTTCTGGGTGGTTGCTAGGAGGTTGCTAAGGTGTTCTGAGCAGTTGATAGGAGGTTTCTAAGATGATTTTCTGGGTGGTTGCTAGGAGGTTGCTAAGGTGTTCTGAGCAGTTGATAGGAGGTTTCTAAGATGATTTTCTGGGTGGTTGCTAGGAGGTTGCTAAGGTGTTCTGAGCAGTTGATGGGAGGTTTCTAAGATGTTGTAGGAGGTTGCTAAGGTGTTCTGGGTCATTGCTAGGAGGTTGCTAAGGTGTTCTGGGTCATTGCTAGGAGGTTGCTAAGGTGTTCTGGTTGGTTGATTGCAGTTTTCTTCCTGTCTTGCACGTCAAGACTACTTCAATTTGCTTCAGTGAGATTTTTTTAATCGGTCTCACTTAATACTTCTGATCTCACAGACCTTCATCAGAGAGAAATGATGAGGATGATGTGTGTTATGCTCTTCATTCACACAAAACCTTTAGACCTTTCAGCTCGGCCAGCGTATAAAAGACTTTAAAGCGTCCTGTTTAACGGTGATATCCACATGAGAATACACTTCTTTATATGAATAAGTGGGTCACGTTGAAGGCCACGGTTATGTAAATGCACAGATAACGGATTTGTTTTTCAGTCCAGATAAATCATGTGTGTGTGGTGAAGAATCGCTGCTGTCTGTGTTCAGATGTGTGTGTTGTTAACCCAGTTACACAGAGAGAAATACAGCTCCCATGATTCCGCTGGGCTATTTTCACGAGTCTCGGCCGGTGTGTTTGCGTCAGCGTTCTGTGAGCGAGACAGTGATCAAGCGCACGACTCTTTCTGCAACACACTCACATTCAAAGTTTGTTTGCCAGCAGGGCAATTTTAGTAATTCCTCTCCCCAACAGAAACCCTTTCTAAAGACTTTTTGCTTTTCTGGAAGTCACCGCTGTTGTGCGGGAACGGCACATTTTTCTCTTGCTTTGCAAATCGGAACTTCGTGTTCCAGAAATTAACATTGATTTTTTTTTTTTTAAACACTGGGAAGTGTTTCAGTCGTGGTGATGATGTTCGGTTAGTAGAAGAAGTCCTGCAGGTCGTGTTTCTCATTTCTTCACAGGAAAGTTGTATTATATAACCTCCGTCCTAAGTATATGTTTTTTGAGATGGGTCCAAGAGATTTTTTTTTGTCTCTTCTGCTCATAAAGGCTGCATTTATTTGATACAGTAAAAACAGTAAAAATATGAAATATTATTACACTTTAAAACAGCTAGGCTGCTGTGAATATACAGTGTAATTTATTCCTGTGATCAAAGGTGAATTTTCAGCATCATTACTCCAGTCTTCAGTGTCACATGATCATTCAGAAATCACTCTAATATGAGGATCTGATGCTCAAGAAACATTTATGATTATTGTTTGAAGGGCGTTGTTTGGCACGAGTCTTCCTTCCGCTGAAAAAAATAGTCCCCGACCGTAAACTGCAACATAAGTTAAATTATTTCGCCAATAGATGGCGGCAAAGGCTGTCTTTATGAGTTAGTCAGTCA